TGGCTTAAGCTAATATTGTATTTGTCTATGGTACAATTTCCCACTGATTGTCTTGCTTCAATGTGTAAATATTCCAGATATTTTGTGAAGCAAGCACAATGTTGTTTTTCTGCTGCTTTTTTAAATAAAAGTAGAATATTTGGGAAACATTTGGCACAGATTTTAAAAGATGACAAAGAACAACAGTTTGCTTTTTGGTAAGTGGATGTTTTATGGCTGGTGGCCTGTCTAAAAAAATGGACATACATCTCAGGCCAGCTGTTTTTTTTTGTTCTGAATGAAAAAAGGGATATTACCCTTTATTCTGTATTTCTTTACTCTTTGTAGTCTGGTCCAATTGCCATGAGGGTAAGAAAAATTCTACCAATCTCAGTAAAGCTCAGTAAGACAGGTGAATCTTCTGTTTCTCATGAAAACAACAGTGGCTCTAAGTAGCAGAAATGTATCTTAGGCTTCCAAGCGGTCTTCAGAATGGGAATCTCAATCCTATGTAGAAAATGTTCTTCAAGGAATGATTGTGCTCAACTAACGAGTTTCAGTGCCTTTTCTGAAACATGCCCCCCTCCCCCCTATGTTTCCTCTTCATTAGCAAAGAAACCATCTTGTGTATTTTTATCAATCTTCCCTCCAAATTTTATCCCTTTCTCCTCCCAAGCTTTCAGTTATCTAATCTTTCGGTTTAATGGTTTATTAGTGTCAACTGAAGATTTTTATATGTAGATGTTTATACTTTTCACTGTACATTTAGTTGTTTATACTTAGCCCCACCAAAACTTTACTGAGGAAAAAAAGGTTTCCTCTTTTTTTTTTTTTTTGGAGAAAACACAGTTCAGTTATTCAATCTTTTCTAATAGAACTGAAAGGACGGATTAAAAGTGCCAGCATTTTAATTATTTCTGTGACTACAATTAATAGGTGAGACAGCCTCTTCTTTAATAGTTGAAATAATTCAGTGTCTCTCTGCAGAATCCTGCGCTTGCATTAAACCAAAGTTTTGATTCATGGACAGATTTATGCAGCCTGTATTAATGCAACTAAGTAGTACAGGTTCTAAAAGGGAAATGTTACTTTCTTCTTCATTATGTAGGAAAATCGGGGAAAACTACAAAAATAATAAAAATCCAAAGGAATCTGAGAGACTTTTTCCAAACCAACCTATTTTATTAAAAGGCATAAGCTTATGAAAGCTACCTTAAACTAATATAGCCTTCTTCCTACAATTTGTTCAATAAGAAATCATAAAGCCTCCTTCAGGGGTTGTCTGAACTTTTGGCAATTTCATGGACACATTTATGCTGATGTAAGAAGATTTCATATTTGCAGAATTTCTCTTGTTTACTTTCTTGTTTCTTTCAATACAAGGTTCTCCTTGACGGACGACCATAATTGAGCCCAAAATTTCTGTTGTTAAGTAAGACATTTCTGAAGTGAATTTTGCCCCATTTTACGATATTTCTTGCCACAGTTGTTAAGTGAATCACAGCAGTTGATAACTTAGTCATGCGGCTGTTAAGTGAATCTGGCTTCCTCATTGACTTTACTTGTCAGAAGGTTGCAAAAGGTGATCACATGACCCTGGGACGGTGCAATGTTCATAAGTATGAACCAGTCGCTAAGCATCTGAATTTTGATCATATGATCGTGGGGATGCTGCAAAGTTTGTAACTGTGGAAAACGGTCATAAGTCGCTTTTTTCAATGATGTTGTAACTTTGAACGGTCACTAAGTGGACTGTTGTAAGTCAAGGACAACCTGTACTGACTTTTTACTTCCATTATGCAAGATCGCTTCCTGCTTTCACTAAAGCTCCCAACCAGTTAATATGGTTTTAGTAGGTAAATGGAAAGGATGCCTTTAGGGAATTTTCCAGTGACTGAAATAGAAGGGGTTTGATAATTGTGATGAAACGCAGTAGCAAAGGCGCATCCTTCAAAGTCAATGGTTGTGTCAGCCACCTGGCTCCTTTTTTTCATTCTCCATGGGGAAATCATGAACTGTACTGCCATGCAGTGACAAACTAGAAAAAATGGGGCACCAAGGGGACAAAATGGATTATTTCTGGTTGAGCCAATTGCATCCCACAATTGGAAATAGAAATAATAGAATTATTTCTAGGAAAGGGAGGGGCTCCTACCTGAACACCCTCCAGAGTTTCAAGCGGCTCTCTGATGCAATCCATCTCTCCCTAATAGGAGCTCTAATGGTGAATGTCTTTCAGCGTAGATTTATTCCCTTCCCTTCAGCTAAGTGATGGGGCTAATGTCAAGCCCATATCACATGGTTTAACAGCAAGGATTCTTCCTCTGAGGTCCATAATGGCACTAAAGTGTAAGCTGGAGGTCTGTTCAAGCACCGAATGCTAAATGCTTTTCTGTTAAATGCCATCATTTTCTTTATCTGAGCAGGATCCGTCCATTAGTTGAAGTCAGTCATATCTCTGTAGACAAGCATCTGGAAATGTGTCTTTCTTTTACACTTTCATATTGCAGTATATGTAGCAAGCTAGCCCCTTATTGATAACAGTTGAGATGGATGAATAGAAAAATAAAAAGAATAATAAAAATATTTTTTAAAAAAAAATCTGAGGTCCTGAAATAATGAATACTCATGAAAAATAAACAGTTGATATGGTAGCTCAGCTTTCTAATGGACTTTTTAGCTTAAATTATTGTTCAACTGATACATTAATTAATTTTCTTCTAGGCCGGCTAATTGACCACCTAGGTTTTTCTGTGGTTAAAAAGCCAAGGAAATTGCTATGTAGATAGCAGCTGATATAAGCTCAGCTCTTTTGCAGATGAATACATTGATTTTACATAACCTTTTGTGGGTCATAATAATAATGGTCATCATACTTTGCATTATTTCTTTGTTTTTTTAGAAGTAGGAGGTAGCAATGTCTTAAAGTATTTTTTCCAATGGATCATGCATATTTATTGCAATATTCCTAACATTTTAAAAATTACACCAATAGTTAATTTACTTTTGTAAGTATTAAAATTGTTCCTGGCTGAAATACGTTGTTGGTTTTTTTGGGTGGTGCTAATAAGGTGTAAATGGTTTAAAAACACTAGCCCAACATTTTAAAACAGATGATTGATCACTGCAGTCTTATGAATTATTTAAAAAGGACTACGGAATTCTTTCATCGATATAACCATGTTATCTAAGAGTTGTACATGCTGTGGTCCAAGATAAATTGCAGAGTGCACCAGAGTAAGAAAGATGTTCTAGTCTAGTGCCTAAAATGTAACCTAAAAGGGAATTTGTGTGTGCGTCACTGACCATAGCATAGAGTATTATATCATATAATTTATCACTCCTAGTAAATTATGAATGATAACCTCAACTGTATTATCTCTCCCAAGCACTAAATGGAGAGTCCTGCATCCTTCTATATAGCTGCAAGGTAAAATGTCTGCTGAAATAATGATTTGTATCCTTCCAAATGGTTATGTGGGAGCTGCTAAAATAGTCTCGGTTATATCAGTTTATAATTTATATTTGATGAATTAGCCAGTGTATGCATATCTATCTTCAGCAGCATCTCCACATATCTGATGTCAGGAATGATAATATTCTAAAATTAGCAGGGGAACATTAAGGAACAACAAAGATCAGTTTCATTGAGAAATAGCTTACATGGTCATTTAAGAATATGAATTAACTTGCTAACAAAGCCTTATGGGCTATACATCTATTTTTAGAATTCAAATTGTTTGAACTGATTTTGTGATAATATAGATGTGTGTGTGTGTGCGTGCGCGTGCGCGCTAAGCCAAGAAAAGGGATGCTCTTTTTGTCTAAAGCAACATCCATCCACAAAGTGGCTAAACGTTTTAAAATAAAATAAATTTATGAAAGGTTCCTTGGCTCTGGGTCAGGGGGCTGGCTTTTCACTTCCTATCAAATGATCAGATGATTTTATTTTCAGTGTTCATCGCCATTTTTAAATAACTTGCTTTGTGGTCATTCCCACTCCATTTTCACTCCCAGTTCTCTGTTCATTTAAAGCTATGCCTGCATGTAATTTTCTCTGTTTTGATTAAGAACGAATAAGGTACTGGTGGTATAGCAGAATTGGTGTTTTGTCAAGCTAAGGTAAATTTTATTAAGAGATTGTATGCTTTTATATATTGCAAGGGTCTCTTATTAGAAGACAATGGTAGCTAATTCCAAGGTGCTGATTACAGTATTTACTGCTACAATTTGGCTTCAAGAAGCAACTGGGTAAATAAGTTCATGTTTAATGCTTAACTTTGCAACTACCACATGATTTCTGTTTTCCATAGTCTCAGAATTGCATTTGCCTCCCCCTCCCCATATCTCCTCATACTGCTGCCTATGTGTAGACTAGTACCCCTTTCAGTTGGCCAATGAGAAATGCAAAAAGTGATGTTCCATCTGGTGCTTTTGTTTCTGCACACTAGCCACTGTATGTGGAAGCGGGGAAGAAAATAGCCAATAGAAACAACAGAAAGGGGAAGGATAGCAAAGGCACATAATAGCTAGACTCAAGGAGACTAGACTCGAGAAATCCCAGGAGTGGAGCAAGGAGAGAATGATCCGATGCTATCTACCCTACATTTTTGAAGGAAACTCAACATTAATATCTTCACAATATTTCCTCTGGGGGATCAGCTAAGTTAGAAGTCAACTGGCTCAGCCAAGATGATTTTCAGATGTCACATAAGATCATGGCAGTGGTGGGATTCAGCCGGTTCACACCAGTTTGGCTGAACCGGTAGCTAATTTTTTGTTGCCCAGGCCCAAAATGGACTTCTGGAAGTGGCATCCACACAGAGAACTGGTTGTTCACGAATGTGAATCCCACCACTGGATCATGGAGATCTAGGAGTGGTACTGATCTCAGATCAATTCAGATCTTATATATGTAGGCCATGAAATGAAATATTTTAATCTTTGAAATGATACCATTCTTCCCCTCAAATCTTTAAGTACTGTCCTATTATAACTGCTGACTTTTTTTGTGTTTACAGGCTCCTTGAACTGAAGTCTGGAGAATCACATGCCTATCTCATGCTTACAGTGAAACCATGGCAACCAATGATAAAGTAGCTATCTTAACTGATGATGAAGAAGAGCAGAAGAGTAAATATGTGCTTGCTGACCCTTTCAGTGAGATTCCTAAGGAGCAAGACCTCCAAACTCAGAGTGATACTCCTTCAACTGAGACCACTACTATTCCAGATGAAGAGCTTGATTGGCTTGAAAGACACTGCGTGAAAGTGAATAATGATCTCTTGATCTCAAAAGTTTTTTATTTTTTCTTTTATGCTGCTTATGGTTCCCTGTACCCATTGCTTCCTGTGTACTACAAACAACTAGGCATGACTCCCAGCCAGAGCGGACTCCTGGTAGGGATTAGATACTTCATTGAATTTTGCAGCGCTCCGTTTTGGGGAGTGGTAGCAGATCGCTTTAAAAAGGGGAAAGTTGTTCTTCTCTTCTCCCTATTATGCTGGGTGCTGTTTAACGTGGGGATTGGATTTGTTAAGCCAGCAACCTTAAGGTGTGTAATAAAGAAACCTATCCCCGTTCTCCCTACCAATGCCAGTCACCTTACAGCAGCATCCCCGCAAAATATCTCCATTTCTTCCGTCATGCCCACTCTGGGAAGTACGATAACAAAAGGTCAAGGGAAAAGAGATTTGCTGACTTACAACTTGCCAACTCTGAGCTCAGCTTTGCCCACGAATTCAAAAACTACCTTTTCTCCAACTATTCAAAATGGAGCTAGGAAGCGTGCTTTAAAAGAAGAAGAGGGTGCAACTGTTGCCAATGCACCAAAAGGTATTGTTACTACAGGTCTGTTGGGAAACACCAACCACACCACCGCATCACCTGCAGTCACTACAAAAACAGCCCCTCCTGCCCATTTTACTCTTGTATATGATCATCAGGAGGTTGAAGCGATCTTCTTGCTCATCCTCCTTGTTGTGATTGTGGGAGAGTTTTTCAGTGCCTCCTCAGTCACTATAGTGGACACCGTGACACTGCAGTATCTTGGCAAACACCGGGACCGTTATGGGCTACAGCGAATGTGGGGGTCTCTGGGCTGGGGACTGGCCATGCTGTCAGTAGGCATTGGCATTGACTCTACCCGTATTGATGTGCTCATTGAAGGCCAAGGCTGTAAGTCTCCAGACTACAAGAACTACAGGATTGTTTTCATAGTCTTTGGAGTCTTGATGACACTCTCTTTGATTGTGGCCACCCAGTTCAGGTTCCGGTACAATCACTACAAGCAAGAGGAAAACCAAAGCACTGAGCCAGAGGATTCCGGCGTGGACAGAAATTCCTCCACAGATTCCTCCCATGACACTCAGAGTGATACAAGCCAGTCCCAGTCTTTCAATTTTTGGCACTTGATTAAGCTGCTCTGCACTATCCAGTATGGCTCAGTGTTGTTTGTGGCATGGTTTATGGGTTTTGGATATGGCTTTGTGTTCACCTTCCTTTATTGGCACCTGGAAGATCTGAACGGCACCACCACACTTTTTGGAGTTTGCTCTGTTTTAAGTCACATCTCTGAACTGACGGCATATTTCTTCAGCCACAAGCTGATTGAGCTGATTGGTCACATCAGGTAAGCCAAAGCTATAAGTATGCTAGAACCACAATAGACAATACTGTGTTGAGAATCCAGATGGTTCTTTTTGCAATTTGCACATTTTTATATATTAAGATACATAAAAATTCTGCTTAGTGACAGATACTGAACAAGTACAGAACAAAGAGCTACCTTTCCATGTCCTGTTCATGTGAGCTAAACAATTATTTCTTACAATAAGTCATGGATCTGCAAAATTAGCTCTTCCAGGAAGTGTAAATCTATAGAGCCATCCTTTATAAATCACTTTCAGTCATTCAAAACAATTTGAAATATTTTTTTCTAGCTGTCAATTTTTAATTCTCAAAATATTTGATTCTTTTGTGTCTCAGATGAGAATGAGATATGGAAAGATTATCTTACTTAACGCTGCTGTACCTAGTAAGTTAATGGAAGAGTACTAGGTGAACTCTTGCTATATAAGAAATAGCCAAATGCTGAAATTTACCACTGGGCCATCTCAACCAATTTCCCCCCATCCATATCTGGAAATGCAGTTGTTAAGTGAGGCATCATGAGACTGTACTGTACATGGTTTTATGTTATTTTTCCAGCGATCATTAAGCGGAACGTCACATGTTTGCTATTTGTGACTTTCCTTGCCTGCTTGCCCCATTGATGTTGCTTTTCAGAAGCCAGTTGGTTGATCACAAATGGGCATCATGTGATTTCGGGAAGCTGCAACTGTTGAAAATATATGCCAGCTGCCAAGCACCTGAATCATCACGTAGAGAACCAACCTAGAACTAAGGAGAAATTTCTGGCAGTGAGAACAATTAATCAGTGGCCCAGTTTGCCTTCAGAAGCTGTGGGTGCTCCATCACTGGAGGTTTTTAAGAAGAGACTGGACAGCCATTTGTCTGGAATGGTATAGGCCAGGGCTGGCTCAGGAATTCTGGGAGTTGAAGTCCACGAGTCGTAAAAGAGCCAAGGTTGCCTACCCTTGGTATAGGCTCAAACAGGAGGTTTGGCTAGAAGACCTCCGAGGTCCCTTCCAGCTCTGTTATTCTGACTTCAGTATCTTACCTGTTAAGGTTCAAGTAAAATATGACTTTTTAAATAAGTGCAGTATCTATCATTTCAGGAATGACTTGTTTTATTAGATGTATATTCTACCTTCATTTTGTGTACATCGAAGGCAGTGTACATAATGTCCTTCCTCCTGTTTTCCTCACTATAACAACAACTGATGATGCTGATCCAGCCATTCAGGCAGTGATTTAGTAGTTTTCCAGAAGTGAACCCCCTGAACTGAACATAGTCAGCAGTGTTCCAGTTGGAATAGGCTTCTTTGAGGAGCTGGATCAGGTCCAATACCACAAACTGCTTCAAATAAAAATTGAACTATTTCTTTTTTTTTTTCATTTCTCTCCTATCTTAATAACATTTAGTCTTGGTAAGTCTTAATGATAACTGTAAATATGTATGTTTGAAAGCACTTTTTAAAAAAATCTGAAAATAAGAGAGGTTGTGAAGGGGACTGTTATTGGATGGCATAATCTGAATGCTACGGGAGAAAGTTTTTCAAAATAGGGTCATTTGAGCCTGGTCATTTGAGAACTCTAGATTGATTTGTTCAATGATCCGTTGGTTTGTTTACTTGTCATTACTTTCATCTTTTTTCATTTAATTTTACTCCCAATTTTTCACTGTGCTCTTTGACTTATAGCACTGATTCTTGCAAATCCTTTCCATCAGAGTAGTGTCATCATCATAGCATACATTTTTGATGTTTTTCTTCCATTTTTAAAACTATCTTCATCTTCTTCCAATCTAGTTTCCTTTAATATATATTCAGCCATATGAATTGAATAAATAAGGGAAGAGCATACAACAGCCAGCCCCAACCTTTCTCTCTTGGAAGACTGGTGGGGGGCAGGAGAGGGGATAGTTCTATGTGAATGGCAAGTGTTGCACATGAGTGTGCACAATTCCATTCATGTAAGCGGTGAGCGTGCACAAATGGATATTTGTGTACCAGTAGTGGGCTGGGATCCAGGAGTTGGGGACCCCTGGTATACAATCTTATTACATGCCTTTGCCAACTTGGACCCAGTCTGTTTCACCATGTTCTATCTGTGCTGTGGTTTCTTGACTTGTATACTTGTTTCTCATGAGGACAATGGGATGTTTTCGGATTCCCATTTTTGTTATCACCTTTCACATCTTGATATGATTGACACAAAGGCCTTTCTGTAATCAGTGAAACACATATTGTATTTTTTTGGCTTTTGTCAATTATCCAGTATGCATCTGCAATAATGTCTTATGTTCCTGAGTCTTTTCTAAAACCTGAACATATGGCATCTCTTTTTCCATGTAGCTTTAGTGTAGCTAATGTGTTGTTGGATTGTCCATTGTTTTGCTAGAATGTGAAATTGTATAGCTGTATAATAGTTTGCAGATTCTATTAAATCTCTCTTTTTTATTGGAATGTAGGGTGACCTCTTCCAATCGGTTGGCCATCATTATTCCCTAGTTCTACTGTCTTAGTTTGGTTAGAACCTTGACTGATTTGTCTTCTGTTACGCCATATTTCAGTAGATATTCCATCAGTTCCTGTAGCCTTTCAACTTAGTAATGACCAGAGTGTTGATCTAACTTCATCTTCTAGTACTAGAGGTTCTTATAAGTAAGGAAATATCTTCTAAGGCAGGGGTCTTCAGACTTGGCCCTTTTATGACTTGTGGACTTGAAATCCACAAGTCATAAAAGGGCCAGGTTTGAAGACCCCTGTTCTAAGGTATCTTGAATGTTGATATTTTTACTATACAGTGTTTCAGTATACCCTTTCATCTTTCTTTGATCTCCTTTGAAGTAGTTAATGACTATCCATTAGTGTCCTTTAGCTCCAATTCAAGACTGGAACCTCCTAAGAAATCTTTTGAAAGAACGTCCTTGTTTTTCCACATCTGCTTCTTCAGTGTCTTTCCAGAGTTGTAAGATTGCTTCTTCTCTCTTCTAACAGCTTTCTGAATCTCTGTGAAGTTCTTTTCTGATTTTTTTTTTTTTTTTTGTCCTTGGCTTTGGCTTCTCTTCTCAGCAATTTCCATGGTTTGTTCTAACATCCATTTTGCTTTCTTCTCCTCGTTTTTGATAGTCACTTTTTACATTCATCCTTCCTCTGAACCAATGAGGTTCAGGACTTCATGGTGATTCATGCTGTTCTTGAAAATGATGGGTATATGTTCAAGATCATATTGTGGAAACCACCTCCTCCTTCTCCTTCTCTACTACCACCATCACCATCACCATGCACAGGAGCAGTTTGTGATCTACGGTCAATACCTGGCCATGTCTTTGATGCTATAATTGAGCTTTTCCAGATCCTTTTAACAATAAAGCACAGTGGCCAGGAGGAGGAGGAGTTTAAAAAAAGTCTTGAAAACAACAATTAAAGATAATGATAAAATATCAAAGTATACGGCAAAGCAAGGTAGGAAAGCCTAGAGTTATACCAAACTGAATGTGGTTGCTAAATTGTGAGTTATATGGAATTAGCCAGAGGAACTTATATGGAAGTGTGAATTGTGAGAAAGGCAGCGAGGAGAAGAAGATGCAGGAGAGAAGAAGGAAACCTTCTGATGCCTTGAATGAGAGAGGCAGGGAGCTGGTGAAAAGAGCCTTCCTTGGCGTGTGAGGAGAGGACACTCCTGCCTCCAGTTTCCCCAAATTGGGAAAGCCCAGGGGGAAATTGGAAGAAGTCAAGTATGGTTTCCACTCCTATAGCCTTCCAGAAGCTAATGTAAAAATCATTGTGAAAAAAGTCCTGATTGGTGGGAATGGTCAGAACCAGACGTTGGATATGTAATTGTTTAATATAAGTTAGTAAGATGATGATGTTCTGTTTTTTTGTATTTATTGCTGCACTTGCTGCTCGCTGTTGCCTTTGTACATTGCCTAGAATCTTTTAAGATTAAGATAGGGTAAAAATAAATAATAGCCAAGTATTCCTACATTGAGAAATCATAAACACTAATATAATCAATATGCATATGCGTGAAAGCCGGTTAGATGACTTTGGGCCAGTTACTCTCTCTCAGCCTAACCTCCTCACAAGGTTGTTGCTGTGGGAAAAATAAGAGGAAGAAGGTGTATTGGATAAGTTCACCGCCTTGAATTATTTGTAAACATAATAAAGGCGGGATACCAATAAATAGATAAATAGGCATGAAATGGAGGGGGGAAAGGGGAGGAAGATAAGATAGTTATGCATATGCCGGTTACTAATGAGACAAATTACAATAAGCAAATAAACAAAAACTCATTATGTTTATTGAGATCTTCTGAGATGGCCTGAAACCTTTTGATGTGTATTTGAGTTCAGCAGTTTCTTGCTTTATTGTGCTGGTAATTTGTGTTTTTGTTTGTTTGTTTGTTCCAGAACAGCTCTTTCAGACCTATAATGGAGTGTCCTGGGAGGTTAAAATGCTTGATATTGCTTTGTCCTTATTTTGGGTCCTAATATCAAATTTGTGTCTATTACCCTGACCTGTTTGTCATCAAATGATGATATATATCATATTGGATGAAAAGCATGTGGAAATAATCTTATGCTTGAAGTTGTTGGGGCCTGATATTGTGTTGTTAATGTAAAGGCAGGGGCAAAGTAAACATCTGGTTTAATTGCCGGGTCTTTCTCACATTAACATCTGTTGTTTGTGAGAATCTGCTTCAGGTTGGGTAGTTATCTGTTTGCAAGTATGAGTTTGCCGCCCAGTGCTTGAGAAAGTGTAGTGGATTGCAGATTATTAATAATGGGTTTGAACAGTTTGCGCTGTGAACCGTAGGTGACAACGTATGCCATTCTATTGTTCTGTCTTTGTGATCTGTCTTTTATTAGGTGCTTCCTAGGAAACGATTTTTGTCTGTTGATTTGACTGTTGATCTCGTTGGGTGGATAGTCTCCTAAATGCATGGTTTAAAGTCGGAATTGCCGGTCTGCTCTTTTCCAAAGTAGCTGCAGTCATATAGACAAGCTTCCCCTCTTCCTCTCAGGCCTTCTTCCTTTCTCTCAGAACTGTAGTTACAGGCATTCAAGTGGGTGGGGAGGCTGGGCCTTCTCCCCATTTCACCACACCCAGGAGGCAAAGGCCTTTTTCCTGGCACTCCGCTTAATGACTGGCGCAGTTGCTTAACAACTGCAACTCAGAGAACCAGGATTGTGATCATTAAGTGAAGCGATCAGGTAGCATCTTGTTTAATGGCCCCCTCGCTCCATGACCAAGATTCCAGACCCGGTTGTGGTTATAAGCGGAAGACTATCTATATCCAGTTTTGGCAAACTAAATACTTATAATTATGAACATATTTCAGAATTCAGATGTTCAAAAAGACATTAAATATATCAGTGAATCCATATGGGCTCTGTTAATATTGAAATGTATTTGTTTCCAATATTATGCATTTAGAAAGATAGCTTATTCTGCTAAAGGCACGACATATTTACAATAAATATCCTCTTTTTGCCAGTTACATATTTTTATTATCATTATTTACATTGTATAGTTTCACATTAAGTATAAGCCAGGAAATATTTTTGGTAATTAGTTGAATATTCTTACCATTGTGTTTATACATGGCACTCGAGACTCAATAAATACAGCATATGATTTATACTTATTCATTTTTTTGAAATAAAGTACCCCACTGGTTTCTCTGCAGTAGTGCTCAGAATGAACAACAGGAAAGCTAACGTTTCAATGCCAATAAATATTTAAAGCAATCCATGTATAGATAAATACCTCTAATATAGGAGTGTCAAACTCAATTTCATTGAGGGCTGCATAAGCATTGCGGTTGCCCTGGGGGGGGCAGGGGTGTGTGGCCAGGATGTGTGTGGCTTACTGGGTGGGCATGGCCAGCTCTACATTGTTTGCATCAAGGGGGCCTGTGGGGGCTTGGGCAGAGGGGGAACAGATCTGAAGGTCTCTGGCAGAAGGGGGTGGGACCAGAGCAAGTGCCAAGGCATGGTCCTCAGAGGAACCTCACTGTTCCTCTCAGGCCATGCGGGGGGGGGGAGGCTGGATGGTGGTGCCACCACAAAATTGTACATTAGCTCCCGGCCGGCCTGGGCCAAGGCAGAGGGGGCCGTTCCCTCACTGTTTCCAGGATGGCTTCGCGGGCCACATGAAACCACTTCACGGGCCGCATCCGGCCCCCGGGACTTGAGTTTGACATGTCTGCTCTAATAACATACTTACATGCCATGAAAGAATACATGATACAATGCTTTAAAAGAAATGTGCAACTGCTGTGCATAACATTTTCACTGAAAACAGAGTGAATGGTAAGTGGGATTCTGCAACAAAATGTTGCAAGGTATCATTTTTTCACTCTCCTTGCTGCACCACCCTACTTGTCCATTCTCCTCATCAACAAACAATGCTCTTCAGTATCTGATTATTGTGTGTGTGTGTGTGTGTGTGTATGTGTGCGTGCATGCACGCACTCGTCTGTGCACACAGAGATCTTTGAGTCAGTTTTTGTCTCCTGGTGACTGACTGAACTACCTTCGTCAGTTTCTTGACAAAATTTTAGAAGAATTGGCTCCTTTCTTGGGCTGAGAGAAAGTGACTGAAAGTCTCCAGGCTGGCTTTGTGCCTTTGCGCAAGACTAGAACTCATAGCCTCCCAGTTTCTAGCCACTACTATCTCTGCATTTTAAGAGTGCTTGTGAACAACTTGGTGTCCAGTCCTGCATATTTTTTAAAAAATCTTCATCTTTTGTGAAGCTGGAGTAGATCAGGTTGAAAACAGTGCAGATAATTTGTTGATAAAAATATTAAAACATGTCAAAAGTAATCAGCGATCTCTCCTCTCATTTACTTGCAGAGTTCTGTACATCGGTCTTGCCTGCAATACAGCTCGTTATATTTATATCTCCTATCTAGAAAATGCTTGGACTGTTCTGCCTATGGAAGTCCTTCAAGGTAAGGAAATTGGGTGCTTCTGTGTCTGAACTCTACGTTCCAGGTTCTTAGTTGTAATGTCTGCTGAGTCATAACTAAGCATAAATCTCTTGGGCTTCAGCTTTTGTCAGGAACTAATCAAAAGGGATTGTTCTCTTTTTCTACAGTTGGTGGACAAAAAGGTGAATGACAGGAAGTGGTTTTTACAGTAGACGGACATAATATTCTGCTATGTGAACTAAGCCAACAACACACCCTTTCACCAAACAAGGGATTCCTGATGAAACTTGCAGCAGATAAGGCTTAGTTGCTTGTAGGGCTATACCGAGAAGGCATTAGTTTCTTAATCTGTTAATATCCTATTGCCTGTAATTGAAAGGAAAAAAACTGTTTTTTAAAACCAACTACACATTCAGGCAGAACCAGTTTTGGTCTGTTTTGGTTAATATTAGTCATTTTCGGTCATGGGGGTGAAAGTTAAAGACCAAATAGCTGGTAATGGACTTGGGGAGAGGGAAGAGGTGGAGATTCTGAGATTTAGGGAAGACTTGTTGAGATCTGGCCTGCGCCCTATGAATGAATGCACCTGATTGGAAGGGAGGCAGTAGAAATAGAAACTTTCAAATCCAAGAGAAAAATGTTGTAAACTGGGGGAAAAAAAAATCAAGTCCACCAAATAAATAAATAAATAAAAATAAATTGACCCATCCAGTAGAAGGTTAGAATAGCTGTGCTCCTAATTTTCATCCATGAAACTTAAACTACCTTTAGTCTTTTCCCTCACTTAGGTTAACATTCTAACTCTGAATAGAATTTTTTTTATTTATTTACTATTAGATTTGTATTCTGACTTCGTTTGTACAACTCAAGGCAGCCTATCTCTTGTTCCCATCTCCCATTTTTCTCCATAGCATTGACCCTATGAGGTGGATTGCTGTGATGGAGCTGCAAAAGGGAAGTGTTGTGGTGGAGTACAGTGAAGTAGTAGTTTCCCAGGAAGGAGGGAGCACATTCCAAAGGGGAGGGGGGAATGGGGAGACAAGGGGCAACACAGCCTAGAGCTGGATCACAGAAGGAAGCAGAGATTTAGAGTAGCCACTCCCTAGAAACTCCCAGGTTATATTTGTTCGTGTTAGAATAGTATAGGTGTAATCTGACAAGATTCTATCTGCTTTGAACAAATAAAGAACTCTGAACTTTTGCTGAATTGTTCTGTGTTGTTCTTGGGCTGGGCCTGACTTTTGGACTGAGAGTGAGAGCGACTAGCCCAAAAATCACACCTTTAATGGCTAAAGGAAGACTAGAACTCAAGTCTCTCAGCTTCCACTCTAGCACCTTAACTCTTACATAAAACTGGTTCTCCAATATTCATCACATTATTTGTAGCACTCTTTAATATTTGTAGTATTAGCAAGTATGGCTGAAAGAATGAAGACTGCAGTAACTCTGGACATTCAGCAATGTTGCTTGGAATTTGAGCTTGTTACTTTTTGAAATTTGTTTTTTGCTATCTTCTAACTTGGGAAATCATTTATTTTGTTTTTACAGAATAAGAAAACTTTCTAGATTCGTTGCAAAGTGTATGTTATTAAAAGTTATATTAAGTACTCTTAACAAAAGTATGGAAGCTTTATTTAATTTAAATGTGAGTCTTTACAGGCAAGTTAACTGACCAGCCAAATTTATTTTCAGGGCTTTTTCTAAAATAAAAATATATCTTGCTGAGTTCGTGCATCTGTAATTTAAAGACGAAAGGCACAGCCCAGATTCTTAAGTCTTCTAGCATATTGATAAAGCATAACACTGGTAGTCCTTGACTAATGACCACCATTGAGCCCAACATTTCTGTTGTTAAGCGAAACAGTTGTTAAGTGAATTTTGCCCTTTCTTGCGACTTTTCTTGCTGTAGTTGTTAAGTGAATCACCACCATTTTAAGTTAGTAACATGGTTTTTAAGTGAATCTGGCTTCCCTATTGACTTTGCTTTGTCAGAAGGTCGCAAAAGCATAAATACGAGTCAGTTGCCAAGCATCTGAACCTTGATCACATGACCACGGGGATGCCGCAATGGGCACGAGTGTGAAAAAAATGGTCATAAGTTACTTTTTCAGTGCCGTTGTAACTTTGAACGGTCACTAAATGAACTGTTATAAGTCGAGGACTATCTGTACACTCTTTTAGATATATTTCATGCCCTCACTGTTCACATGTGGGCAACTCATGGAGAATCTGAGGCTCACTGCTTTGCTTACTTTCTCTGCATTCAGAGGATGCATTATCACTAGCTTTTGGAAGACCTAATTGTTTCTTTGGCTATGAGTGGACGTGTGCTGGGAAATAAAAAAACTGCTTATAGCTTCCCTAGCTATGATGCTGATGAAGGAAGTGACAGGTGCCATATGTATGAATGTGTTCTGGTACTCTTTACCACCAGCCTCATTCAATTTTACAGCTCTTGAACAGTACCCAGGGCTCAAAGTACAGCTGCACCCTAAAATGGCTACGCACTCTTGCCATGGACAGTACTGGTTGTGTAACTCCCAACACTCCTGCAGAGAACAATCATCTTAAGAACACATGGTGTCGTGTTTCTGTTCTTTGTAGGTGTGACCCACGCAGCCATCTGGGCAGCTTGCATTTCCTATCTAAGTGCTGCTGTGCCCCCGGAACTGAGGACGTCAGCCCAGGGGATCTTGCAGGGTCTTCACCTTGGCCTGGGCAGAGGATGCGGAGCAATGATTGGTGGAGTGTTGGTCAATTATTTTGGTAAGGGAAACTTAGGTATTTATATGACTTTCAACTGTTTGGACTATTGCTTTAAGAACCTTTTCCTCAACCACTGTGGAAACTGAAGAACGTGTTAGTAGTCAGAGGTGCTACCAGACTCCTCCTGATTTGGCTTTCCTCAACCAGATGCTGAGTATTTGTCTTGGACTGCAGCTCCCACTGTTGCAGGCAAGCACAGTCAATTTGAATATTTTCCATTGTTTGGCTGTCATATATGCATGTACACAAGCGCGCGCACACACACACACACACACACACACACACACACACACACACAAACAGAGTGTACAGGGAGGAAAAAGTCATATTGGGGAGAATGTGGCCTATATCAATCAGCAAATATCAATTGGTAACTCAACCTTCTCTGCTATGGTTCTAGAGACACATCTACAAGGCCTCTGAACATCATCTCAAAGAGACTTTGCTCCCCATCTTCTGGGAAATATTCCACACAGCACTCTGCTTTCTTCCTCTCGGCCCATAACCAAAGCCAACTAACTGCGGGATTTTCAATTCAATGTGGAAATAGGGATTTTCATTTTCTCTCAGCACAAACCCTGCTGCCGGTATTTGCATGCTAGATGGTGCTCTTGCAGTGACCATGGTGATTCAGTAGCTGGGCAGGCTGGCTGCTTTGGGATGCAGCCTCCTCTCCATTTATTATGGCTATTATTAGATTTGTACACAGCCCAAAGTTGCCCTATGAGAAAGATGGGCAGTTTCTAAATGTGATATGTAAGCAAATAAATAATATTAGATATTTTTATCTCACTTGAGAGAGAGAAAAAGAGAAGTTGCCCTGATAAACACATAGAGAGATTAGCAAACTTTTCTAGGAGGTTTTCAAGCAGATAAATTGCTGGAAAGGTGTCTTCAAGCTGTACCTCTGATCCCATATTGTACTTGGAATTTATCCATGTGGCTAGAAACGCCAAAGCCCAAAGCTCTTTTTGGGTTCTCTTTATCCAGTTTTAGGATTTGGGTGGAGAATAGATGATGTTTTAGGTCATGTTTATGCAGAAATACTGAAAATTCAAAAGGTTTTACAAACTTTTAAACAGTCAGGTACCTTTGCTGATTTACAACAAATCACCCAATTCTACTTCTGAATTATTCATATTTTGGAAAGCTTGCAGATTCAGAAATCATGAAGCGAAACTTTAGTCTCCTTTTTTCTGAGTTTGTAGCATGTAATATGTGGTCTTGTTAGAAAGAAATGGGAAAATATTCCAAGAGTAATACCCAACGAGTACCAAACTTTTAGCATTAAAATGATTTTTTTTAATACGGAGTTCTACTGGGAACTTCTTTTCACACTTTCCAGTTCCAATTATAAGCAGAAATAGACAAGTATGCCCATTTCTAATGTGAAATCTGAGACCCTTAATGAGTCCTTAAAGAACAATAACTATTAAAAAGCCTCTCCTATTGTGGCGTAAATAAAACCTATAACAATTACCTTGTGTAATTATTACCTTTCCTCAACGTATTGTAAGGTCGTAGCTGTTCAGTTGTTAGTGACAGCTTCCTCTGCTTTTTTTTTGTTGTTGTTTAAATGGCAGCCATTTTTGCCTGTTAAACTAAAATGCAATTCCACTTGTCTCTTTGATCTCAGCCATCTTCTCTCTTTTGAGGGAGAATAAACAAAATGGCGCAGAGGTCCTTGAAGCATGAATGCTCTCCTCTCGTACACTTTTGCTGGGAGAAAGTTTCATTTAAATGGGGATAGGGTTTTGTTTGTTTGTTTTTGTGCCTCTGAGTCAGTTCTGACTCCCAACAATTGCTCATTATTCTTGGCAAGCTTTTTCAAAGGTGATTTCCCTTGCCTGCTTCCCTGGGCTGAGGGAGAGTGACCTGGCCAAGGTCAGTTGCTGGCTTTGTGCCTAAAACTCGAACTAATAGTTTCCTGATCTCTAGCCTGCTGTTTTAACCACTACACCAAACTGGCTTATTTACAGGTAGTCCCCGATTTACAACAGTTCATTTAGTGACCGTTCAAAGATACAACGGTGCTGAGAAAAGTGATTTATGACCGTTTTTCTCCGTTACAGTTAGTTTTTTTTCTAGCTTCCCCATGATCATGTGATCAACATTCAGATGCTGGTTCACACTTATTGACCGTTGCTGTATCACAAGGTTATGCGGTCACCTTTTGTGGCCTTTTGACAAACAGAGTCAATGGGGAAGCCAGATTCATTTAACAACCAGGATAACTAACTTATCAACTGCCATGAGTCACTTAACAACTGTGGCTGGAAAGGTCGTAAAATGGGATAAAATTCACCTAACCACAGAAACTTTGGGCTCAATTGTTATAAGTTGAAGACTACCTGTATTTACTAAAGCTTGAGTAGGGCATGCTTTAGTAAATACAGGCCTACCTAGTCAATCACTCCCCCCCAGCAACTGAATCAGACCCTATTTTGTGTGCTTTTTCCTCTACAGGAGCTGCCTCAACTTTCAGAGGGATAGGAATGGCTTTTCTTGTTATCCTCTTGCTTTTTGCTTTGATTCAGTGGATAGCAGTTCAGGATGACAAAGAAGGTAAAGTGCTTATTCCTTAGGTAAACAACCTTACCTAACCGGTTTTTCTCCTTTGGGTTATTTTCCGTTTGCGTTATCCTGAAGTTTTTTTTTTGCTTTTTTAAACATTTGCCATCTCTAATCAATTAGCTTGCGTGATGACTTTTTATGATTTTGGATTGGGTTCATTCTTAATTCATGTGGCATATTGTGTTTACCACATAGCTTTGCCTATTGCAGCTCTACCAGATCTGAAATCCCAACAGACCATATAGCTTCTAATGGCAGTAAGCCTAAGCCAGTGGTTCTCAATCTGTGGGTCGGGATCCCATTTGGGGTCCAACGACCATTTCATGGGGGTCGCCAAACAATGCAGTCCGCCATTTTTTCCCCTTTTCTTTAGCTGTGCTACTCCCTTTTATTCTATTGGCTTTTGAAAGCCAATAGAATAGACTCTCTTGAATAGAGTCTAATTCTATTGGCTTTCAAAAGCCAATAGGAATTGTCCAGGCTGTCTCTGCCCTGCTGAGCCCGCCAAAAGTCCCATTCTGCAAACGGTGCTGCACCAGTTGAGTAGTCCTCGACTTACGACCGGTTGAATAGTCCTCGACTTACGACCGGGTGGGGGTCATGGCATTAAAAAGGTTGAGAACCACTGGCCTAAGCAGAATAGTTTAATATTTGGTGCCATCTTGTGGACATCTGTAGTTTTGCAGTCCTGTTACAGTACGCCTTTACAGAAGATTGGGCGCACTGCTTTTTCTTCTTCTTCACAATGTCAGACTGAAGCAAGAGTAAACCTCATTTGATATAATACAGATTGATTTAAAAGTAATGGAAAGACATGCACATCGACTTATAACATTGATGTCTTTGGGGAAAAAGATCCCAGGAAAAAGCGGTAAAATCCAGTGTCATCTATAGAAAATGGCTTCTGCTATAGTGAAGCAATTTCTTCATGTCCTCATCCCATAAATCTGTAATGTTCATCATGGAGATCCATCTGGAAGTTGTCTCTGGAGTTTTTCTAGCTGTACAGAAGGATGTAGAATGAGGAGAAATGTGGGATGACTCGCATATAAACTAAAAATTTGCTAAAAATAAGCTTGCCTCTGATACTGTACCTCTTTGTATAATAACTCAAGTGTGTTTTAAAAACTGGTTTTGTAGATACTCAGGTGATTGAAATAAAAGAGATGCTTTGATCCATTTCTCTGAACTGCATCTAGAAGAATTAGGCGACCTATGAGATGTTTGAAAACTTGGTCCCATTTTGCCATCCCTGTACTATTTTCTTTGAAAAATAAGATTGGAAGTTAAACATTATTGATAATTATTTTATACAGTGCTTGGTTTACTTCTTGCAAGAGAGAGAGAGAGAGAGAGAGAGAGAGAGAGAGAGAGAGAGAGAGAGAGAGAGAGAGAGAGAGAGAGAGAGAGAGAGCGCTATATTGCAATGGATTGAGAGAAGACTCCTTACCTCTTTTATTTTATATTGGGTGTGAAGTATTTTTCTCCAGTACAGTAGCTAGCAGTCAGTAAGTGCTAACTTCAGAACTGAGGAAATGGAGCTTGCTGTCAAAATCTAGCAAGGGATTCCTACTATAGCCAGAGAGAACCTAGAATCAGAATGCTGGATTCAGAAAAGTGCTTCCACTTAACTCTTAGATGGTGAGTTCTCTTGATATCAACATCCTGTCTCTTGTTTGAAATTTTAGACAAGACCATGCTGGCCGAAAGGATCCCGGTGCCTTCAAGTCCGGTGCCCATTGCCACGATTGATCTGGTACAACAGACTGAAGATATTATGCCTCGCCCATTGCCCAAGCTTCCTGCCAAAAAGACCAAGCACCAAGAAGAGCAGGAAGATGTACACAAGCCTGCTTGGGGTGTCAGTTCTTCACCCTGGGTTACTTTAGCCTATGCTATTTATCAGATAAAAGAGATGGTTCAGCTCTCCAAAACCAATCAGGCACTTGAGAACCAGCCTTTGCAGGTAACAGGGTTTGGGTGCATGAAAGGTATTTCCAGGCAAAAAGTTGTACATACCTGATACTCCAGGCTTTCCAATTCTAAAACAGAAGCTCCCAAACTACAGGATTAGTACATCCCATTCTTCACATATTAAATATTGGTGCTATTAAAACAATAACAGAGGTTTAAAAATGTAACATGGATTTTGCTTGCATAATGCGGTTAGACATGGGCGAGCCTCTGTGCCTTGCATTGGATTGATTCAGTACTGTCATTTCATAGGGAGACAAAAGCTCTAGGAGTTCATTTGTCATTTAACTTGGGATTTGGAAAAGGATTCAGAGCATAGCTGGAGAGAAGCAAACTAGAGGATCTCTGTGCCTGTATGAGAGGCACAATATCTAGTGAGGTAGGATAATTGGAGAGATGGATGACAGTGCTGTGAAGTCAAATCTTCTCAGACCGATGAATCTCTTAGTTTTTTTTTTTTTTTTTTTTTAAAGAAAGTCCTAGAACTCTTAATCAAGAGGCAAAGCTGAACTTTTTCACTGGGTGCCAAGGAAAGTCAGCACCTCTTGAAAACATCATGGGAAAAAAAGGCTGTTGACATTAATATTTTTGCATAGTCAATCCACTATTGTCTCAGACCTACAGAGATACTGTAGTATCTCATCTTGTGCCTTGGCTTGATAGCGCAAGAAAAACCGTTTTACAACAGTTTTGCCAATCTGGCAAAGAAATCTGAACACATGAGCTTGCTTTCTTATATCAGCTGGTTTGTGCACAGGATATAAAATTAAACCTTGTTATTTAGTGTTTTTATTTGCAGAAGAATGTGATTCTTGTCCTACCCCTTTTGTGATTATTAGGAAAGATAATTTACTTCTCTGCTGAAATATTCATACTTCTGTTCCCAAAATAGCACGCTGCTGACATTCAAATAGAAAGTATTGCATAGAAAGCCTATGAGGAAAATATGTGCAACTGCATAAAGGGAAGCATGAAATGTGTTAAGCTCTGAGGAATGTTCTTTCTTATCTACACAGAATTATTATTATTTGTCTTAAAATACACCAAGTCTTTTTTCTACATGCTTCTTGGGGAAAAGCAGTTAGGAAAATATAGGACAGGTAAGTTTATCTGATCTGCTACCTGCGTATGATGGCTTTTGCTGTTGCCTGAATGCTTGTGTGCTGCGCTGTGAATATGATTTTGTGATCCGTGTTAAGAGGATGCTACCTTGGCTTACTAGGAATGACAGTCTATGTCAGGGGTAGGCAACCTTGGCTCTTTTGTGACTCGTGGACTTTAACTCCCAGAATTCCTGAGCCAGCATGGCTCAGCTTGGAAACCTCTCCCTTTCCCCTCAGCATGGCTGGCTCAGGAATTCTGGGAGTTGAAGTCCACGAGTCATAAAAGAGCCAAGGTTGCCTACCCCTGGTCTATGTGTATTTTCTGAACAAATCCACACAGCAGATGTTAACCTTGTGGTTTTCTTTTGCTTTTTCCTAGAATGCCAGCAGTAATCATGATTCCACGCCAGATAGTCCCCTGGATCAAAGACCTGATGGTACAGTGGTAGAACCTTCAGTACCTACAGCTACCCCTGAAAACCACCCCAGTTTGGACTGCCCTGTTTCTTTGGGAAGCCGAGTTCAGTCTCCCGAGAGAAGGCAGGAATAGAAATTTCTTGAATCCATCTCGCAGCACTGAATACTGCTCTTGGCAATCAGAAAAAAAGACTGATGTGGGAGTTTGAGACCTCACCTCTCTTCCTCTTGGCAATAGTAACCTGATGCGGCCAAAGCTTTTAAAATATTTAATGCCTTTTCTGTGACAACACCTGAGGCCTGTTGCAGGAACAGTTTGAAGGCTAAGCAAAAGCGGCCAGGTTAATGACTAGCAAAAAAGCATGCTATTTCATCTGAAGTTTTTTTTCCCCTCCACCTGAATGGAAGTGTTGTAAAACAAACACATCTGATTGTCTTGATAATTTTCTGGATTGTAATTAATTTTCACAGACAAAACCCCCGCCGTTCAATTCTGTTTCCTCTTACTTAATGCACTTGAACATTTTAATTCAATATTAGGGAAAGGGAAGACAAGAGCTCGTGGCAGTTTTTTCTTAGACAGTGATTATTTATTATGAGGTGCAGGCTTCCCTAGAGCAGTTAATCCACCAAAACCTCAGAGAAAATACAGTAGTTAAATATGGAAATGAAGGAAGGAGCCCCATAGAATTCTGTCTTTTGTAAAGACTTTTCAGAGATGTTGTAGAACTTTTGGCTGGTAAAATTCTACATGAAACATCTGTTGAAACCTTTCTAACCAGACAAGCGGCATTTATGTTGCTGTGGCCAAGCCGTAGAGCATTAGTAAGGGCATTTTAGAAAGAAACAGAACAGGAAAATGTGGTTCTCCATAATTCTGCAAGAACGGGATATGGGTTGGAATGTGTGATGTTCTCTTTGAAGACCTGAACTGTGATGATACAGTTTGAAGGTACTGATGGTTTTATATGGGATGGATCTGCCCTAATCACCAAAGAGGGATTGTCCTACAGAAGCAGTCTATGTGGATTCTCTTTTTTTGCCTCTCTGGTGTGTGATGGGGAAACATGATTCCTTCCCCTCAGGCAGATCTGAGAAGTTCCCACTTAACTTGTGTAGCACAATAACAACAAAGGGTCAGAAATGTCTAGCTTTGTTAGATTTTTGGAGTGGTGATGCTGATGCCACATTCCTAATTGAGGCCTGCAGTCTGTTCTGAAAGCCGGTAATGAGAGGCATATATATCAGCTGTTTCTTGAGAAGTTTTTCTTAGCCAGGCTGATATAGTTTATTTTATGATAGAGTATCTTTATTTAAGGGGAAAGGGAATAAAACTTTATAGAATATATTTAAAGTGCCTGTGGATTGGGAAGGGGTGTAAATCCTAATTATTGTAAAGGAAAGGAAGACATAGTTAATATAAAAGCAGTTGGAAAAAGAGAAAAATGGATAGAGCAAATTGATCATGTTGACTTATCACTAATTTGTCAAGACATTGGCAGATTCAGATTTGACATTTACATTTCACTGAACTGAGTGCAGGTCCCATACATTCTTTGTTGTTATAGCTGAGAGAAAATGTTAGAATCAATTTTATAGCGTTTAGGCTTCAAGCATACTGAATATCAAATTTAATCTTCCATTAGAGGAGTCCCATTCATGGGTGATTTTGCCCAGATGGTTTTTGACTTCTGGCAGCCAATGGGATGCCATTTATGTCCCAAGGGCTAGTGCAGCTCATAGAATTAAATTTCAGATACCCTTGATTTTTGAATGCAGAATATAGAATACCTTAAGATAGATGCTAAGGGTGTTTTCCTTACATAAGCCTTAAGGGACTGTTAACAATCTATACCTGGGACCAAATATGGGCAAGTAGTTATTAGCTATTTTTTGCACTTCAACTTAAATGTACTGTAAATTTCTCTTGACTTGTTTAAGTGACCTTTAAAAATAAAATCAGAAATCTATTTATTATATGTTTATATTGCAGAGGAAAGGAAGGAAATGAATTTTTTTAAAAAAAAAGTAGACTAAAATGGTTATTTAAGAGGCAACGAATCCTTTAGATGAACTTATCTGAACTATGTGATAAATGCTGTGGTAATAACTGTTAATGTTGGATACCTGAGTTGTAAGACTTACACATTATGTTTACATATCCAACCTGCCTGTCAAATCAGTTTCTTCCTTGTTTGTGGACAATGGGGCTGTAGAGAGCTCTCGTATTTGTGAAGTTGTTAAAACGTAGTGAGATAAATAAAATTTCATGTATACGTCAAAAATGTCATGTTCTGTTAAAAACATGAACAACTATAGTAGGCGGTGGATTAGCAAGAGTTTGTGTTTACTAAATACTTTGTGCTTTTATTAGACTACTTGTACTTACTATTCTCAAATGCCTCTCTCCTCTGGTTAATGGCTCCAAGTAGTGCCAGGTCTTTAAGAAGTAGAGGATGAAACACAATATTAACAAGACTTTGTGATCTAATCTGACTGCTCTATTTGCAGAAGGGGTGAATGATTCGTCTCATTGGACGAGTGCAGGTATTCAGCCATTGGACGAGTGCAGGTATTCAGCATGTTTGTTACCTGCTTATATGTACTGAGAGCCTCAATAATGAGGGAACATTTTGCTAGTCTCCTGTTGAAAATGAAGAAAAAATATTCACTTTTTTTGCAAGTGGTTGCACAGCAGAGTTCTCCATAAATTACAAACAAGGAAGCCCTCAACTGAACCATGGCCATATTTGAAATCATCATGGCTCTTAAGATGGTTATGAGGGCACTTGCCCTGCAGTTACTTTTGATAACCCCCTATACTAAGCTTGACTCCTGATTACTAGGTGATTTGTCACTGACTTCTTCCAGGTTGCTTTTTCAAATTCCCTACAGCCTGGGATTTTCTTGAGGACTTTCCCCCCCCCAACCCCCTAAGCACAGTTTACGTGTCACTCCTTTATCTTGGAGATTAGCCAAGGTTGGCTTGACATTGCCACTTTTTGCAACAAGGCAGCTTTTCTTTTTTGGCACCTAGACTGCAATCAAATTGTTCCTGCTCTAATCTAACCCTTCCCATATGCTGGTATATGAAGCATTGAAATTCCTTGCAAGTGCACTCCTGTGTTTATTGATGATAGTCTGGCTAGTTCCAAGAGCTGCCCTTCAGAGGATGAATTTAACTGTCCCCTTGGGAGATCATAGACGAGTTCCCCCTTCCCTTTTCTTTCCCTTGCCCAGAGGAAGTGAATTATATCCCTTTTCTTGTTTTTATTCTTGGCATCAAGGGGTTCATAGAAAGAATTTGAACCCAAGAGATGAGAAATATATCGATATTATCAACCACCTTGTTCAGCAAGGATCTCCACTCCTTGCTTGGTGTCCTGAAGGCTGCTCTCTGCAGGAATTAAGATACGTTATTAATATATTTGAATGCACTATTTACAATGGCTCATTTTATTTGAAAGTGAATATTAAAAACAGGTTGGGATTTACAAAATCCAAGCAGTTCTCTTCTTACTCTACAGTGCATTCTGTCAGCAATGCATCAATCGACACTCATACACATTGTTACTGTTTACATTTACTGTTTTTTAAAAAATTAAGGTATATAAAATGATGGTGTCTCCATTTTTTAAATCTTCACAAAAGCCAGTGGTATAGGTTAATCGGAGAGATGATTACATTACAGCAAACTTCATGCAGTCTTCAATGCTAGACTAATATGAAGTGATTAGTAATTAAAGAACAAGATCTCCTTGGTTCCCTTTCCATGTTTCTAAGATCTTGTTATGTGCACAGAAATCTTGGTGAATTGTTTCAATTTGAGGACTAGAGACTTAAGATAGTGCATCCCAAATCATGAGCTGCTATGAAAATCATAGCATGCTTACCTAGCCCAAAGGAGCGATGTAAGGAAAATCAGAGTCCTGGTAACCTATAATTACACAATTCTTTTGGTGGCCTGTTGCCTCAAAAGAAAAATCAAGCTTCTTCTAAATGAAACAAGAACAAAGCTTCAGACCTCCATCCTAAATCAGCTGTTGGAGCCAAAGTAACTGTTAACTGTCTTTCCTTGCAGATTTGTGCTTCTAAGCCTTTCATACGTTCATTTGTGTATTTCAGTTTCAAGGCTGCCTGACTCCATAGGGACACCATGTTACAGAAAAAAACATTAAAACATAACCAAGAAAAAAAAACAGTTGGCCAAAGACCAAAATGTCAAGCAACAAATAACCAACCAAAAGATCTTGCAATCTGCAGAAACACGGGAGCAATGCCAATCCCTCTTGTGGACTTGGAAGGTTTTGGCAGTGATCCCGACTGGGATTTAGGGCTTCATGTACACAGGAGTAAACACTAGTTCTGTCCCACTTGTGCTACTAACCTTTGAGTCACTATGAGTTGGGTGGCATATAATTTAATACATTTTATTTTTGTTGGTCACACACTCTGCCGGACATTTAGACTGGATTTGGCATTTTTATCCACCTATTGAGTCCTTTCCAAAGATTTGGGATAGACAGATGGTGTTTGATGAAATTAAAAGGTACCGTTGCAAGATGTAAACTGTTCCAAGTAAAGCTGCTTTTTGCAACTGACCAATGGTGATTTTGTCAATTCCAATGGTGTTCAAGTGGTGCTCCAGATGTTTTGGAATTCTGCGCCAGGTACCTGTTATTACCTTTGCTTTTATTGCTGCTGCTGCTGCTGCTTCTTCTTCTGCTACTACTACTACTACTACTACTACTACTACTACTACTACTACTACTACGCTCCAACATTTTCCTTGGCTCTTCTAAAGATGAGTGCTCTGTGGCATCTGTAATATCTAGAACGCTCAGTTTATTTGCAAACTATGCTGAAACAACACAGCTTTAGCTTATCCCAATTACTGGAGAGAAATAATTAGCATAAAGTGGTTAATCGCCAGTAACATCAACTTCCCAGCTCATTTTCCCAACTTCAGTTGTCGTCACTGGATTGTCCCAAGCAATGTGATTGTGTGTTGGGTTGGAGCTGTTGTGTTTTACAAACCAAAAATTATGGCTTAAATGTGTTTCCGTGAACTCAGCAAATGAGAGTTAAGCACACCATGGGTTAATGTGCAAACTTAGAAATCAACAGATCAGGCAAATAAGAAAGACTGCTGTAAAGTGAACCTTGTAAATTGGCAGAGCAACTGAGAGGAATTCCTTGCCCTCCACAGGCTGCCTCATCAAACCTTCAGCAAATTGTTCCTCTAAGCAGAGACGTTGGCTAAGTCCGGTATTGTTCAGATGTGCCTGGATTCTCTCCTTACATAACCCTAGGCATGATGGCTTTGCAAACTTAACTGCTTCCTGGAAACCAATGAAGTCATGGTTAAGTCCTTCAAAATGTCTTGACTGCCCTCTACAGGTTAAAAGGTGTGTTATTACATGTTTCCGCTGACCTGGGCATCAGCTCAAAGAAATTCTCTACTGTGGAAGTGCCGGAGGTTTGGTTGTAACAGTCTCAGTCCCTCCTCTTTGTTTCTCTCCTCCACCTCAGGAGAAGCATTATGGGGCTCTAGTTCTGCCTCAGTCTCTGGCTGGAAAAGCTGTTGCTCTAGGAGGGCTCCTCCGATGCCATACTGTGCCTCATGGGCTGTCGTTTCTTCAGCAGACACATGAGGAGAACCTAGAACAAAGTTTGCAAACCTGGAGAAAGGAGAAAGAGGGATCACAAAGCAGAAGAAAGCAATGCACCAAACACTTAAAAGTGATGAAAAAAAAAGGGGGGGGGGATGTCAGGAAGAAAAATACTGGCCCAATCCCACCTTGCTCTAATCTCATCCACAAAGGCACCAAATGTAGCCCGCCAGAGAAGACTCCTGTGGAAGCGCCACCTCAATGGGGAAAAAAAGCTTTTGCTATTTAAAACCCCAAATGAAGCTATAAGGTATGGAAAAGAAAACAAATGCTCCTACTTTTGTGGGGATTGCAGTTTGACCACGGCTACCCAGGACGGGAAAGTGGGATTCCTACAGAATATGCGCAGCTCCTCCAGGGCCTTCACAGTCTCTGTTTCTCTTTGTTCCTGGTATTCGTCTTCTGTCAGATAACGGGTCTCCAATTTTTCTGGGTGGAAATACTGAGCAGCTTTTCTAAACCAAGGAGGGGGAGGAAGGGGAGGGAGGCACTTTAAAGATTATAGTATGGATTTGAAACCCAAAGAGTATGGAATACATTTTTAAAAAGAATTATCTAGAATCCAACAGGCAGACTATTACTCTTGACTACCTTATACTAAATGGAAAATCCATACCAAGTTAAAATAATCAAAGAATTACATTCAAGGTAGTTTGAGTTTATTAGCTATGTTGTTTGCTCCTAAGTAAATTCCAGTGACCCTTCTTTCTGAGCAGACATAGAGAGGACTGTGTTGTAACACTTCGCAATGGGGAAAGGTAAGAAGTGACCTTCTAACCTTGCCACCTTGGAGATCAGATCTCCTTCTTAAGGCTTCTCCAAGGACAGCCAAACTTAAGTTCTTGACAAGGTGCCAATTTTGTACCCAAACAGTTCTGCAGTCCTTTAATGAGATTCCAAGCACAACTGAGTATGAATAGAATTCAAAATGGTAAAAGAAAGTCCCCCCCCCAGATTCCTGAGTTTATTGCTAAAAGCTCTAACAACAGATATCATTGTATAATTTAATAAGTGAACTGCTCTCCCCCTTGAAAGCACCTATATTTAGACACAATTATCTGGCAAATAAAGCAGAACATCCTAGCACAGTGATGGTGAAATTTTTAGAGACGAGTGCCCAAACTGCAACCCAAAACCCACTTATTTATTGCGAAGTGCCAGGTCTGCATCAGCATTGTGGTGGCCTCGGGGGACGTGGGGCGTGGCCCATTGGTGGGTGTGGCTGCAGTGGTCATGGCAGACTGGGTGAACATGGCTGGGGCCAGTCCCTCGCCATCCCTGGGGCATCCCCGGGGGGACCAACATCACTTGCTCGCTTATTTCCTGCCCTGTCACCTCCAAGCACCATGTGCTCGCTACTCTGGCAAACTCTGCTGGGGCAATGGCACGCGTGCCCACAGAGAGGGTTCTGAGTGCCGCCTCTGGCACGCGTGCCACAGGTTCGCCACCAGTGTCCTAGCATATGTTTTCATCCAAAAGAGTGATTAAAAATAAGTCTATTTGCATGCGGTGTCTACAATAGCCCTGATGCTAAAAAGTGCTGAAGAAAGTGTAATTGTAGCTCAGATACTAGGGCACAACTATGTGTCAGAAAAATCCCTAATAATGCTACTACTTCTGAAATGACATACCCACAATATAGAGTAAGAATACTCTATACTGAATGTGGCCCCAGATAACTGTTAGGCTCCCTAGAATGATTGCTTCTAAGGAAGTGCAGCGAATGACAAAACAGAAGCTTGAATTTTGTATAATGCTGAGACAGGGTTTCATGTAACTACAGACTGTATCTCTTAGTGCATCACAACTAATAAGGCAAAGAGAAACTATGGTTATCTATTCTGATTTGTTTTAATCTTTAGAGCTGATCCCAGAATCCTAGTTTTTTCCTTGATTTTTGTGTTGCTCTCTAGACCCTTTGCCAATTTACCAAGGCACTAAGGCAAATGTCTAAACCAGGGGTAGTCAACCTTGGCTCTTTTATGACTCGTGGACTTCAACTCCCAGAATTCCTGAGCCAGCTAAGCTGGCTCAGGAATTCTGGGAATTGAAGTCCACGAGTCATAAAAGAGCCAAGGTTGACTACCCCTGGTCTAAACAGACTCTGTTTCTCAAACCAACCCATGCTTTCTTGAGGGAATGGCAACAACCGAATCAGGAAATTGTTTTGCTTATCCTCAAAGAATGATTCATGCTTCCTTAACTAAGCATCAGTAACATAAATCCTGCTTTGCAGTGGCTACAAACATAGCCAGTTTATGTGTAGATTTGTATAATCCAATTCTCAAATAATATAATTCAGTAGGACAATAACTTTCAGAAAAATTACACCAATGCCAAAAATTACACCCTCAAGGACAAGTTGTTCTCTCTCAGTGTGATGCTACTCAGTTTGAGCTGGAAGGCCCATAGCCTTGCACTGAATGACTTTACAGCTGAGTGGGGACAGAAGCAAACAACTTCCAGGGCATTCTGGCACTGTGCAAGCTCCACTACATATTAGAGAGAAAGCAGAACATAAGGGGCAAACAAATTTAATAAATAAACAACACGGTTTTCATTGACAGAATAAAATTGCCTGAAATGTCTGATTACATCATACAGTTGCTTCAACAAATTTTTGGTAAGAATATCATTTTGATTTAATAAGTGAAAGATTACTGACTTGCCAATATAGCAGGATGCTTGAAGGGGATAATGCAGGAGTTTTGTACAGAGCATAGCAGTTATGACTGCATAGGCAACCCAGGGGATTGCAATGCCAAAATAAATTAAGATCAGGCCTTTCAGCTGCAACATCCACATCAAGAGGTTCATACTTTGCTGGCTGCCGAGTGGCCCGTGCTTCTTGCAAATAGCAAAAGAGATCAATCCAACTGATAAAATATACCCTGAAAAACAAAACACCAAGCCATGAAATAAATAGTAGATAAAAAAGTGATAGATTTAGTTATTTTAGACTTGCAACTAACCGTTCACTTGAGGCTAAATTGTGATAAGTAACATTTGCTTCTGAGAGGGATAGTTAAGTAAACTAGAAGTCAATTCTTTCCACTCCTGATTTTTTTTTTCTGTTAGTGGGATACTTTTCATGGCATAATAACAGCTTAGAGTTATGCCACATACGCCCATCTGAAGTACAGACAGGCTGATTACTCTGGAAATATATCTGTCCAGCATTTTATGGGAAGATTAACTTTTATTAATACTAATAAATGGTAGAATGTGCTCATTTTCCAATTGCATCATTTAAAATAATACTCATGGAAAGATGATTTTTTAAAAAACTTTCTGATCAAGATTCCAGTAAAAAAAGAGCAATATTGTATATACATTCATAAATATGTATGGATATTTACTGAGGTAAATCTCATAATACAGGTAGTCCTCAATTTACAATTGGTTGCTTAATGACCAAAGTTACAATGAACCTCCCCATAGTTGCGTACAACCCATTTTAAAGTTACAACAGTTGCACCCTTTCTCCTTGGTCAGATTTTGTGCACCTGGTAACTAGCTCACCTTCACACCATTTGCAGTGTCCCACACATTCATGTGACCATGATTTGCTACTTTTTTGCTGGTTTTCAGTGTTAACTTCTGGTTTCTGGCAGAAAATGTCAAAAAATCAGATTCGGTCACATGATGCCTCAACTTACGACTGCAACTACTTATAACCATAATCTAGGGCTCAATTACAGTTGTAAGGTGAGGATCATCTGTATTTGCTAATGAGGACGTTAAAGCAGGAGTTTGCATGATTATAGCTATGTAACAAAGGTTGAACAAGCATATCTTTTACTCAGTTATTTAGTTCACACATAAAGTCAGTCTAGCATGTGGATGTGTGAATCTACCCCGATTGTTCAGCATTATGAGCCAGCACTATAAAAAAAAAAAAAAATCCTGATTTAGTGCTAGGAACAAACACAACCAGCAATGACTAAACACTAAGTGATGATTTATCATATACAGGTGAACTCGAAAAATTAGAATATCGTGCAAAAGTTCATTTATTTCAGTAATGCAACTTAAAAGGTGAAACTCTATGAGACAGACTCATTGCATGCAAAGCAAGATAGTTCAAGCCATGATTTGTCATAATTGTGATGATTATGGCTTACAGCTCATGAAAACCCCAAATCCACAATCTCAGAAAATTAGAATATTATATGCAATCAATAAAACAAGGATTGTACACAGAACAATATCGGACCTCTGAAAAGTATAAGCATGCATAGGTATTCAGTACTTGGGCCCCTTTTGCAGCAATTACTGCCTCAATGCGGTGTGGCATGGAAGCTATCAGCCTGTGGCACTGCTGAGATGTTATGGAAGACCAGGATACTTCAATAGCGGCCTTCAGCTCTTCTGCATTGTTCGGTCTCATGTCTCTCATCTTTCTCTTGGCAATGCCCCATAGATTCTCTGTGGGGTTCAGGTCAGGCGAGTTTGCTGGCCAATCAAGCACAGGAACCCTTTGCAGGTATTATGGTTTAATTAGCTGATGAGAGTGGGACACTTTGTGCCTAGAATATTGAACCTTTACACAATATTCTAATTTTCTGAGATTGTGGATTTGGGGTTTTCATGAGCTGTAAGCCATAATCATCTCAATTATGACACATCACGGCTTGAGCTATCTTGCTTTGCATGTAATGAGTCTATCTCATATATTAGTTTCACCTTTTAAGTTGCATTACTCAAATAAATGAACTTTTGCACGATATTCTAATTTTTCGAATTTCACCTGTATATTAAAGGACACTACATAAAGAATGTTTGTATCACTTCACATAATTCCAGATGCTCTTGAAGCCTCTGGACAGCATATTTGGCAGAGAGAGATCTTTATCTCAAGTGTCATCTTTCTCATCAGGGAACAGAAAGCTTTTTTACATCCAAAGTAATAAAAGTCTGCTGTATCCCAGAGCCGGGAGGGAGGAGAACAATAAAATCTCAGTTTTTGAAGGTTTTCAGAATAGTCTTTCTGTCATTCAAATATAACTAAGATTCACCAGGTATGCAACCAAGACTACTTGTAAGTGTACAGGTAGTCCTTGACTTACAACCACAACTTAAAATTTCCATTGCTAAGCAAGGCAGCTGTTAAGTGAATTTTGCCCCATTTTATAACCTTTCTGTCGCAATTGTTAAGTGAATAATTGCAGTTATTAAGTGAATCATGCAGCCAGGCTTCCCCCATTGACTTTGCATGTCAGAAGCCGGCTGGGAAAGTTACAGATGGTGATCACATGACTCCAGGATAGTGCAACTGTCATAAATACATGCCAGTTTTCAAATGCCCAAATTTTGATCACGTGACTATGGGGATGCTGCAACAGTCAGAAGTGTGAAAACTGGTCATCAGTTATTTTTTTCAATGATGTAACTTTGGCCATTAAAGTAACGGTTGTAACTTGAGGATTACCTACAACAGGTATGTCTAATGAGGATATAGTTAGTCTGAGTCTGCAACCTTTGGGAGATAATGCACTTTATTTGACAAGCTTTCCATTTTAGGACTGAAGAGAGTTGTAATTGCCAAAGAAGCTCATTTTCAAAGGGTCTTATATTGTTATTCATTCTCATACCCAGTATATAATATGGAGAATTGTTCCACATCCATTTCAGTTTTTCTCTCGAAACATAGAACATATACAGAGAAGAGAACCAGCAACCACTCATTAAAATCCAGAAGGTACTTAGCTAAAAGAAGGGGGGGGGAAAGAACAATGACGTTTGATTATGGTGCATGTCCATACAGATATACAAAAGTGGAGTTAGTGAAACCACCCAAATCAAGCTGAAACAAGTTTAGAGAAGAGAAGAGCTCACTATTAGACAAACCTAATGATAATCTCATTTTGGAATTTAAAAGTCAAAAGGTTCTTCTAGCAAAAGCCAAACATACCTCTTGTCTCAGGGGTACATAATTTCACCACAATTAGCACAAACATTGAATGTTAAGGTTAGAAAGACTACCTCACCATGGGAACAGCACATGCCTTTCCTCTGAGGAACATCTAATGGCCACTGAGGAATATTTTCTACAATCTAAGAATGGGAAGTTCTTACATTTCTGCCTGATAAAAACTTAGCAGAGCCACAAAAAGCAATTAAAATATGACCCAGGGTCTAAACTTTCAAGGAGCAAAACCAAGCAAAATATTGAACGAGCGTTGTATTTTTAATACAGCATTTTAAGGACTGATATTTCTTGGTATATCGCTAGGAAACTGAAATTTGTGTTTTGCTGACATGGAAAGTAAAGTCAGCTCTTCTGTTTTATGGTCAAAGATGAAAGAGTTATTGGATTAGCTATATCAAGAACTGCTGGGTTATATTTCAGTGTTTCGTTCCTTCTACTGCAGCTCCCTATGTCTTCGGAAAACCCGCTTTGAAGGGTCAAGGGACCTCTAGAATAACGGGAAGAAGTAGCATCAGGGATCTCCTGAGGAAAGGAGGATGCCCGAAGATCAATTATCTTCTTCTACCAATACAACACTTTAAATTGAATTCTACTCCAGGAATACTTCCAGTAGAGAAAAAGAATCTGGATTCAACTCTGTTGTCTTGAATAAATGTGCTTTGTTTATATAAAGAATATCAAAATGCTTTGCCCACCCTGTTACCTATCTTACGATTTTGAGTCTTCCACCCATAGTGAAATCTTGTCCAAAAAGAAATGACAAGTTGACTCTGTCTCTATAGAAAACATTGAATTCAAAACTATTTACCCCAAGTTTCAGTAATGTTAAGGTTTTATTCTGCTTTACCAGTTAGGGATCATGCTACTAGCTGACTGCTGAAATATTTATTCCATGGTTAAACCACTTCAGTAACCTTTGATTCACCCACAAAACTAAAAGCTCAGTTAACATTGGGGAAGCATCAAATACTTGCTGTCTTTCTTTATATTAAAAGTCATAAACCTACCTTGGGAATAAACCTTTTAAGCATGAAAACGAGAAACACTAGAGGTATGAAAATGCCAAATGCTATCCCAGCACAATAATAGAAGATATTACTTCTGTTTGGGAGAAACACATGAATGCTAGTAAATCTTTTGCAAAGGAAAATAAGTACAAGAAAGTAGAAAAGCAAAGATATATAGCTTTATTTAAATTCTACAGATCACTTCACTTACTTACACAGCTCTGCATCTTGCAATTAACATCCCATGAGAATTCCTTGCTTCATATTGCCTGGATTCACAAGCTGCGTTAAGCTATAATGTGGTTGGTTTCAGTTTTAGATTATCTTACTGTGCAAAGTCCTTCTGGTTTGTATATCATGATTCAGAGCTTAATATGATAGGTGAATTCAATCATGGTTTGCTAAATACATTATGGCTAAGCCAACTAAATACATCATGGCTAAGCACCTAGTTATTCAGTGGTTGGATGGGCAACCAATAAACTTTAAATATATAAACAAACAAATAAATAAATAAATTACTGCCAACTTCCATCCAACTATTTTATAAAGCTTTCTACAGATGACCTCATTTATTGTATAGAGGTTGTATATGCAACTCCTATCCATAGAGGGTGTGCTGGAGGCCATGCAATTCCCCCCCCCCCAGGCTAGATTTCTGGGCAGATCGAGAGAATATCCACTCCATCAGCCCTTGTTTGCAACAATTGGTGTCAGAGAGTTAAAGACCATGAGATTCATAGCAGAAGAGAGCATCCAAGATCAGATCTCCTTCTGAAAGCATTTATTTCTCTTCCCATTCAGAGAAGAGTCCAAAAATTCTACTGCTTTGATACTACATTCCAGAGAACACAGCACTGTAATTTTGTAATGCAATCCTATGTATGCTCGCTCAGCCCCAGTAAAGTCACTTGATTTATACCATAACATGTGCCTTATTTATTCCACCAATTTACTGATCACTGATTTAGACAATATTGTACATCTAAATAAGCACACACTTTAAAAATTGGAAGGAAAGAACTGCAGCCCTACCCATGGTAACTTGTCTCAGGTCTTGCTGAAATCAATGCAATTTCTTAGGTTTGCAGACTTGCAGCACATTTTTATTTTCAAAATTAGCAAGTTCGTGTAATTGACAGATTCCAGTAAAGCTAACACGTACCTGCTCAGGTTAAAGGCAAAATGAAAAAGAAGTCCACCAGCAACAAATAACAGAACGAGTTTGCTATCCAACACTGGAACAAAAGAAAAGATGGGAAATCCAAACCTGTTTCACTTATTTATTTATTTATTTATGAGACTTATATACCGCTTTAAGTGCAAGCACTCTCTAAGCGGTGTACACCAGTAAGCAATATATATATATATATATATTTACATTGCCCCCAACAATCTGGGTCCTCATTTTACCTACTTCGGAAGGATGGAAGGCTGAGTCAACCTTGAGCCGGTGAGATTTGAACCGCTGACCTGCTGAACACAGTCAGCTAAAGTGGCCTGCAGTACTGCACTTATGTACTAAAAATGCACACTTCTAACAATACAAAAGTATTTTATAGATGGGTTTCTCTTAATATTACCGTACTCACTCTTTTGTTGTACTCTCACAGTGTAGAGTATTTTATTTGTTGGTTCGATCCTGAAACATGTTTTCCCAACATACTGGTCCACTGTTATGAGCGTTTGATTAGACACACTAGGCTGCCAAATATTGCTAATCAGGCACTTCAAAAAATCGAGCAAATGTTCGGAATTTTGGCAGTCACGTTCATCTGGGATATACACCACTTGAAATAATCCAGTGCTGTTTGTGAACACCTAAAAAAATATAATAATTCTTAATTATATATTCAAAACCTAAAAGGAACTATGAAATAAGGAACAATGGGATTTCTTACTACCATTAAAGTTTAATCTATGTTTACATACTTTCAGTCAGAAATCCTGAGACATCCTAACACAGCCATTCGCGCAAGTAGGTGAACAAGTAGAAATACACAACTGAGTCCAAAATTTCCACTGCTAAGCAAAGCAGTTGTTAAGTGAGTTGCGCCTCATTGTACGACCTTTGTTCCACAGTTGTTAAGCAAATCAATGCCCTTGTTAAGTGAATAATGCAGTGACTAAGCGAATTTGGCTTTCCCCCATTGGCTTTGCTTGTTGGAAGCCAGCTGGGAAGGTTACAAATGGTGATCACGTGACCCCAGGACACTGCAACCGTCATGTCAGTTGTCAAGCACCCTAATTCTGATCATGTGATCATGGAGATGCTGCAACAGTCATGTGAAAACTGGTCATAAGTCACTTTTTTCAGTTACTATCAAATGATCACTCAACGAATGATTGTAAGATGAATACTATCTGCAAATAACTGATTGCATTTGAACTTGGATCTGTTGCTCCAAACCCAAGCACAGCTTGCAAGCCATTAATAATTCCTGGCTTGACAGCTTGCACTGATTGTAAGCGACAAACTAAAAACTCAGGTTCCACAAATGATTTATTCTGGTTTATTTACTCAATCATACAAGTGGAGGAAAAAGCAAGAGGCAAATATTGATGTTTGTCTGAAAAATTCCAAGATTGCTCTCCCCAAAATAACTTTACACATAGTACTGGGGCTCTACACGTAGATGCTATATAGACCACATGATTTATTTAGAGCAGGGTGTTAAACTGCCGGCCCATGGGCTAGATGATTCATGTGGAAGCCGCACCCACCCCCCAGCTCTGGTAAGGGGGAAAAAGTTATGATACATCGCAACACGTCACATGACGCGGCGAGTTTGACATCCCTGATTTAGAACAAAGGTGAATGTAGCTCTCTAGATCAGTGGTTCTCAACCTTTTTAATGCTGCGACCCCCAACCGATTGTAAGTCAAGGACTACTCAACCAGTCGTAAGTCGAGGACTACTCAACTGGTGCAGCACTGTTTGCAGAATGGGACTTTTGGTGGGCTCAGCAGGGCAGAGATAGCCTGGACAATTTCTATTGGCTTTTGAAAGCCAATAGAATTAGACTCTATTCAAGAGAGTCTATTCTATTGGCTTTCAAAAGCCAGTAGAATAAAAGGGAGTAGCACAGCTAAGGAAAAGGGGGGAAAAATGGCGGACTGCATTGTTTGGCGACCCCCGTGAAATGGTCATTCGACCCCAAATGGGGTCCCGACCCACAGGTTAAGAACCACTGCTCTAGATGTTGGTGAACTGCAACATGTAAAATTCTAAGTAGCATCAATATTACCAAGAGCTAATGAAATTGAAAGATCTGGAAGGCTGTACATTACTCATTCTTGATTTAGGAGAAATAGTTTCCATTTTCATTGACAACAGAAAGTAGGCAACCTGATGGCAAAGATTCATGGAATTATAGTCCCAAAACCTGAGTGGCCCCAGACTGCTTACTCCTAAGGACTTTCTTAATCCAAATAGCAGAGGTGAACATAAAACAAAAATCTCCACTTAACAGATATTCTTGCAATTTTCCAATGTTTGTCCAAAAGATTTAATACAGAAAGCCCTCTAATGATTTCCCAATGGGCACAAATAGGCTTTAGGCTGAATTATCAGTCATTCTATTATTTTGACAGAACTGTGGAAACTTGTCCTCTAGGTGGCTCAATTAGGGATCCTTAAGAGAGAAGATCACCACAGATGGGGACTGCAGCCAAGAAATTAAAAGACGCTTGCTCCTGGGGGAGGAAAGCTATGGCAAATCTAGACAGTAAACTAAAAAGCAAAGACATCACCCTGCCAACAAAAGTACATATAGTCAAGGCCATGGTTTTCACAGTTGCAATGTATGGCTGTGAAAGTTGGACCATAAGAAAGGCTGAGCGCCAAAGAATTGAGGCCTTTGAACTATGGTGCTGGAGAAGACTCCTACGAGTCCCCTGGATTGCAAGGCGATTAAACCGGTCAGCCCTAGAGGAGATCAACCCTGACTGCTCTTTAGAAGGCCAGATCCTGAAGTTGAAACTCAAGTACTTTGGCCACCTAATGAGAAGGAAGGACTCACTGGAGAAGAGCCTAATGCTGGGAAAGATTGAGGGCAATAGAAGAAAGGGACGACAGAGAATGAGATAGCTTGATGGAGTCATTGAAGCAGTAGGCGTGAGCCTAAATGGACTCCAGAAGATGGTAGAGGACAGGAAGGCCTAGAGGAAAGTTGTCCATGGGGTCGCGATGGATCGGACACAACTTCGCAACTAACAACAACAAAGAGAGAATTGTTTGGAGAACACCTGGCAACCTAACTGAATACAAAATCGAGGCGTTTATTATAGATACAATGCACTTCTATGCAAATTTACTCTAACACAAATCTCTGTGTTTAAATGAGATTTTAGAGGAGCTTAAATGATACCTAAATTTCCACTGGAAGCTTATAGATTCTATAAGCTTTAACTCTGTTTCTCACAAAATCATGGATTAGAGGTGTTAGAAACATTCTTTATTTTATTTTATTTATTTATCTATATTATTTATTAAATTTTTAATGCCACACATCTCCCCTGTAAGGTGACTCTGGCAGCTTACAAATTATTTTGTTGCTGAGATACTGAGATAATTATTTCAGTATACACAAAGTCTATTCTTTGGGTATTTTATGGGATTTGGGCAGCACAAAAACCTTATTTGTTTGCAAAGGAGGCCACACCAAAGAGGAGTATAAGAAATTCCACAAAAGCTTTGACAGCCAATAGAAATGAAGACAGTATTCCAGCTGAGCTATTCAAAATCTTAAAAGAAGATGCAGTAAAAGTGCTACACTCAATTTGCCAGCAAATTTGGAAAACTCAACAGTGGCCACAGGATTGGAAAAGGTCAGTTTACATTCCAATTCCAAAGAAAGGCAATGCCAAAGAATGTTCAAACTATCGCACCATTGCACTCATTTCACATGCTAGTAAAGTTATGCTTAAAATCCTACAAGCTAGACTCCAGCAGTATGTGGATCGAGAACTACCAGAAGTACAGGCAGGATTTCGAAGAGGCAGAGGAACTAGAGATCAAATTGCCAACATACGCTGGATCATGGAGAAAGCTAGGGAGTTCCAGAAAAACATCTACTTCTGCTTCATTGACTATGCAAAAGCCTTTGATTGTGTGGATCACAACAAATTGTGGCAAGTTCTTAAAGAGATGGGAGTACCAGACCATCTCATTTGTCTCTTGAGAAACCTATATGCGGGTCAAGAAGCAACAGTGAGAACCGAACACGGAACCACTGATTGGTTCAAAATTGGAAAAGGAGTCCGGCAAGGCTGTATACTGTCGCCCTGCCTATTTAACTTATATGCAGAGCACATCATGAGAAAGGCAGGGCTAGATGAATCAAAAGTTGGAATTAAGATTGCCGGGAGAAATATCAACAACCTAAGATATGCAGATGATACCACTCTAATGGCAGAAAGTGAAGAGGAACTAAAGAGCCTCTTGATGCGGGTGAAGAAGGAGAGTGCAAAAGTGGCTTGAAACTCAACATTAAGAAAACCAAAATCATGGCATCCGGCCCTCTCAATTCCTGGCAAATAGATGGGGAAGAAATGGAGGTAGTGACAGATTTTATTTTTCTGGGCTCCAAGATCACCTCAGATGGGGACTGCAGCCAAGAAATTAAAAGACGCTTGCTCCTGGGGAGGAAAGCTATGGCAAATCTAGACAGCATTCTAAAAAGCAGAGACATCACCCTGCCAACAAAAGTGCGTATAGTCCAGACCATGGTTTTCCCAGTTGCAATGTATGGCTGTGAAAGTTGGACCATAAGAAAGGCTGAGCGCAAAAGAATTGAGGCCTTTGAACTATGGTGCTGGAGAAGACTCCTGCGAGTCCCTTGGACTGCAAGGCGTTCAAACCGGTCAGTCCTAGAAGAGATCAACCCCGACTGCTCTTTAGAAGGCCAGATCCTGAAGTTGAAACTCAAGTACTTTGGCCACCTAATGAGAAGGAAGGATTCACTGGAGAAGAGCCTAATGCTGGGAAAGATTGAGGGCAATAGAAGAAGGGGACGACAGAGAATGAGATGGCTGGATGGAGTCACTGAAGCAGTAGGTGTGAATTTAAATGGACTCCAGAAGATGGTAGAGGACAGGAAGACCTGGAGGAATGTTGTCCATGGGGTCGCGATGGGTCGGACACGACTTCGCAATTAACAACAACAACAGAAATGAAGACATGACATCTGGAGAGATGTCTTGTTTCTCCAGAGTTTTCCTTTGCAACATTCCATTTGACATTTTTTTAATATTGCCAAATCTTCAATAGCATTCTTCATTGTGTTTTTTTTCTGCCAAGAAAAAACCCTAGCCACTTAATTTATGAATTCATCAACAGCATGACTTTACCTGAATACTTGACCAAGTATTTTGTAAGTACATTGCTCCATTTGGAATGTAGCAGAAACAAGCTGATTCCGTACTATGCATTATCTTCATTATCTTCAACTGTTTACAGCTAGTACTATCTATACAAAAGGAAAAGGGTCAATCACAGCATCATGAAATACTATATATGCAAGTTATTTAGACATTTTTTCCCAAGAATTATAATTGTCACAAACCAAATCAAGCTGCCACATTGAAGTATGCCCACCTTCTATAATTTGCTGGATTTGGTTTATCAGTCCTGCAATCCATCACTGCAGTCCTAAATTCTTCCTATGAAATGCACATCCACGTATATTTGGGGCCACTGTTGTCCCATCTGCAACATAACTTGGCTGCATAACCTTCTTTTTTTTTAAACAAAATTTTATTAAGTTTATATAAATGAGGAAAAATAGGAATAATACAGGTATGGTAAAGGGAAGGGTGGAAGGAACAGGAGAGGGGAAGGAAATAAGGAATTAGGATAAAATAAGGATAGGTACAATCACATATTTCAACAAACAAGCAACTGTCCGGATCATAATAATGAGTAAATATCATATTGAACCATTTTTAGCAAAGCTTTGACTGTAACATATTAAAAACAATTAGTAAACAAATACGTTGATCTATTAAGTAAACACTACTAATAAAATCTCAAAAAAAAAAATCCTAAGAGTCAAAAGTAACAAATGAGAATCAGTAAATCAGGAAAAGTAATCATATCATCAAAATGTTAGTTAGAACTCGATTAAAAATCAGTCATCTATTCTAAAATATTGAATCCTTCAAGTTCTGACGTGTCTCTAACCATTGATAAAAAATTTTCCAAGTTCTAAAATAAATTGAATCATCTTTTTCTTTCATCGTGCAGTCCTCCTAGCTCAGTGTTTCCCAAACTTGACAATTTTAAGGCATGTGGATTTCAACTCCTAGAATTCCACAGCCAGCGTTGCTGGCTGTGGAATTCTGGGAGTTGAAGTCCACATGCCTTAAAATTGTCAAGTTTGGGAAACACTGTCCTAGCTAGCTAGACCTAGCACATCTTTTGCCTTCCAAACAGCCAAAAGAGACGGGCTACGCTGCTAGGCGCTGCCATCTGAAGCACCAAAGAACCGAAAGGCGAGCGGGCGGGCGGGTGGGTGGGTAAGCTGACGCCGTCCAAAGATTTCGGGGAAAGAGCGGCAAAGGTCTTATTAGGGGCAGAAATCCAAATGAACAGACGACTGATCGCTTGCCTTTTCAGTAGGGATCCCCATCCACCACCCCCTTCGGCCGTGTATCGGCACCGGTCCGTGTCATGCCAGCAACAGGGCAATGGGATGAAGGCAGCACACAAATGCACACCTTTCTCCGCAGTGCCCAAAAGGTTGGGGGCCGCTGCTTTGTCGTTGTTTGCAAAGGCAACTGTTGGCTAGCAAGCTGATTTCAGATGGCAGCTTCCAGCCAAGTTACCTGCTAATGAAGGCGGGGCTTCGTCAGCCCTCACGGCCTGGATTAGCCCCGTGGCGAGCAGCTGTCCCAAGAGCAAGGCAAGAGGCTGTCTCCGGACTTGCAAAAACAGCCGACAGCCCGAGGAACCGCCGCACTGAGACATTTTGTTTTCCCCGGCTCGCCGCCCGCAACTGTTTGAACAAAGCTGGTGCCTCCGAGGAGGAAGGCGCGGGAATCGAGCTTCGATACACGCTGACGAAGAAGCCTGGGCGGCCAAAACCGGCAAACGGGATCGACTAGTTGAGGCTGGAGGAGGAGGAGAAAATGCCAAATGAGTCTGCCTTCAGTTCTGAATTTAAAAAAAAATCATAAGCTTAAGTATTTAAAGAAGTCTTTGGAATGAAAAAAAAAACAACCCTGAACAGAGGTAAAATCCTATGAGATACCTACATGAATAAAGATCAAGATGGCTAGGAACAAAAGGAAGGAGTACAAAGTTGATTTTTTTGACCAAGGTTAAACTAAGACATGTTTTTTTAAAAAAATACTAGGAACCATTTATGGACTTCTTGCTGGCATCCAGATTGAAATGTTTATGGAGTTGCATATGACTTAAGGGAAGAAGAGATGCTTAAGTAAGGAAGAAAGACTTTACAAAGTTTGTTTGTATTTTTTGTGACAAAGATTGGAAGTCACTTCTTTTTTTCTTCTTACTTTTTTCTTGCACTTTCTATTCTCTATTATTCTTTCCTTTTCTGAGTTTAGTTTATATATTTTTTAAAAAAATATTAATGATTTTAAAAAATGACATGATGGAACACAATACCTAACATTATCATGCTGTCATTCCCAGAAATAAGCTTGTATGTGCTTGATTGGCTAAGTCCCACTTGCTTTTTTATTTTCTTGGGCGGGGCAGCAGTTTTTGTCAAATTGCTATAAACCTTGTTATAAACCCTAGTCCAATCCCCTGCTGCATCAACTGCTTTAACTTTGGGGAGACTGAATTCTCATCACTGGGGCTTAATGAGCTCAGGTAGTTTGAAAGGGAGCTACAAAACTCAGGCTTAGTCCCACATTTGACCATGGAACTCATTGACTGTCTGAGACAGATACTGAGTACACATATTGTAAAATCTAAACTGTGGCTTGCTTTGTTTTTGTGCCTTCAAGTTAGCCTTGACTCCTAATAACTACATGGACAAGTCTGCACAATTTTCTTGACAATGTTTTCAGAAGTGTTTGCCCTTGCCTTCTTCCTAGTGGCTGACCAAGCTGGCTTCTGTACTTAAGGTAGGATTAGAACACACTGTCTCTTGATTTATTAGATAAATTATAATTGCTAGATTTGCACATCACCGGAAAGCATAAATCATGGGCTGTAAGCTACAGCAGAGTTCCCTAACCTTTCCAGCTTCGTGTAGATCAACCGGGGGGGGGGAAGGTGAGATGGTTCTGTGCAAGCGGTGGGCAAGAGTGTCCATGCAGCTCCATTTGAACGAGCACATGTCCCAGTGCTTGCCCACTGCTCATGCAAGTGAGGATACACTTATACTCGCCTGCCACTTCCATGGCCCTGTTCTGTCCAAGCCTACGTGAGTCCTTGTTAAGGAGAAACCCCTCTTCCAACAAGCAGACTGGAACCGCAGGAAAAAAACAATCCCCTTTTATTATTCACAGACCTGAGTCAATGTCCAAGGCAAACAAACACAGTTCATAGAAACTCGATCCTCAACATGAACAGTTGCCTTTGACAACCAGCACCTCCCACACCTTCCCTTTTATTATGTAGCCAAGGTGTGGCTTCCTAATGCCTTCTCCTTTGCCTTTGGAGCCACCCCATTGCATTCCTCTGTCCTATTCTCTTTTCTTGCCGGTGTTTTCATGCATCCTGAATATCTCCCAGTTGTGATTCATCACTGTCCAACTCATACTCCCAGCACAACTGTGTCTCAGTTGACCGTGAGTAGAGGGGCCAGGCTCCTCATCAGACTGTAAGTCTGGGAGCTCCTGAGAGCCTTCCTCTGACTCTGATGTCACTCCAGGCCCCTCCTCCTCCTCTGATTCCTCAGACTCAGCTGCCGGGTCCACTGGCTGGCGAGGAATCACAACAGGCTCAGTTCTGAAGGGCTCAAGGCCCGGTAGTGGGCTGCAGCCTGGGGATTGGGGACCCCTGAGCTACAGCATATGCAAAGCCATAAGTTAGGTTTCTGGTAGCTTATTGTGCATTCATTTTACCTTTGTCATGCATGGTGGCTATGAATTTTCACACAACACACTGCAAGGCTCTATGAATATGTATTTGTATCATTTTACCCCCTCTGTGCATATGTGCCAAGCTCAATTTTTCAACTGAGGTTATAGGGTTATTGTCTCACGCAGACCCTACCTGCATCTGAGCTCATTGTAAACTCGGTGATATATCAGACCTTGTGGTAAGACATAGTACCCAGTTTCTGATAAGCCAGGATGGTGGCCATTTCGGGTCTTCACTTAAATCTGAAAAATCACATAAAGAGCCAAATGCAGGAGGAAGGCAATTAAAATGATGGCATGGTGCTGAAGTTGAGGTTTGTAAATGAACATTTGATGATGTCATGGACTGGGTTCACACAACATGCAGAACTGGGGTTTGTTTCACAGGAGTTTGTTTAATGAGCCACTATTGATCAGTTTCACATAACATAGCTAGGTTGATACACCTGCTGAGTCAGAAATCATTATGGCTTAACTTGAGGCTTTAGACTATCCATTATCTCTACCTTCACCCTGAAGTAGATTTACTAATGTTGATTGTTCTTATTTGTGGAAAAAGTTTCTTTTCTACCCTAAATTCTTCCATACGTCTTATTTGTAAAGCCTAAGGCAAAATGGTGCATATTATGTGAGTCAGGCAATAACTTATTTCCCAAATGTCCAAGTTGTTTTTCTTTCTTCTGGCACTTGCAAAGTTGGTTGGCGAAATTGTTTCTTTGCCTCTCTATCTGTAATGCTTTCAGCTAATGTTCTCTTCTTCTCACTTGCTCTCAAAACAGCCCTGCAAAACAGCCAATAATGTCACTATCTTCCAAATATGCACACTCTTGGGAAATAGTTCCTACAAAAGAATGGATGGCATTGCATGGAGGCATGAACTCAAGTGCAGAAAGTTCTGTAAGGATGTAGAAGACCTGGATTGTGCTTATGCAAGTAGTCCTCGACTTACAACAATTCATTTAGTGACTGTTCAGAATTACAATGGCACTGAAAAAAGTGACTTATGACTATTTTTCACACTTACGAATGTTGCAGCATCTCCATGGTCACATGCTTGGCAAGTTCAGATGCTTGGCAATTGGTTTGTATTTATGATGGTTACAGTATCCCCAGATCATGTTGTCAGAAGGAAAGCTGGGGGGACGCTGTAGAAATGAGCGGAAGGCAGGCCGCATTTTGGAAAGGAGGTCTCTTTATTTAGTTGCCAGAAACTTCAGTGACAGCAGCATGTTTTTGAGGTGGCTGACAAAATGGAATTGAGAGTGGGTGGGTTTTTATACCTTCTTTGGGGCTTTGTGTTTGAGGTGCCTGTTTCTGTGCAATGTGCTTTGACCTATGCTTGAGTGTGCCCTTTTGGTATTCTGATTATTGTTGCCTGACTCCTATTGTGTCTTTGAGGTCATGTCCTGTCCTTGGAGCTGGATGGGGGATGAGAATTTTAGGAATCTTTGTTTTTCTAATCTCATCCAGCCCCAGTCTTCCTGAATGGATTATCAAATCTTCATTTCTCAAAGGTGGCCTGCTCAGTTTCTGCCTGGCGCAGGGAGATTGGGGGCTGTTTCTGCCTAAGATTTTTCTCCTTTAGGGGAAATATAATATTCTGCCTCTTTAAAATTCCCCAAAATATTTCATTCTCTGGAGGGGCTGCTGATATCCTTACAATGTGCTCACATTTTGTGACCTTCTGGCGTGCAAAGTTAATGGGGGAAGTCAGATTCACTTAACAATCGTGGTAAGAAAGGTCGTAAAATGGGGTAAAATTCAATTAATAAACCTCTCACTTAGCAACAAAAAAATTGGGCTTAATTGTAGTCGTAAGTCGAGGACTACCTGTAGTCTGAAATGTACAGATCTCCACTCTTTCATCTGAGGCAGAAGAGCATATTAGACAAATTCCATTTTAACAATACAACAAATCATTATTTAATCAGTGTCATTTTAGTGTACTTCAGATGCAAGAACAAAACTTTCCATAGATGACATACTATTAAGCATGCATAAAATCCTGTTTGGTCTTTTACACATACGTAAAATTCCATTGGATGATATTCCTCTTTAATGGACACCCTTCTCTCCATTAATCTGTTAAATTAAGGGGTTGCTGTAGTCTGAATTATCTTTGGGAAATCTTCCCTTATAAATGCAGTAGCTCTACTATTCTTCTTTGCAAATGTTCTTTAAAATAAGGAGAAATATACACTTAATTTTGTGCTGCTCTTTTTAATGTCTGTGTTTTTCAGTTTTCTTTTCCCCTTCCCTGTGAATTAAGAGTACTGATTGTCCAACAGATTGTCAGGGTCAGTTCTTTCACTCTATAAGTTCTAGCTAGTAGCAAAACCATTAAAGAAGCATCACTTCTATCTTCTCTGTGGCTACTGTGCACTGTTTGTTTCCTACTGCTTTCCTCTCCCCCCCCCTTTTAATTAGCTGAAGTTGGAAGGTCATTCAAGGGGTAGACAAACAAGGCTAGACAAACTCAAGCAGAGCCCTGAAGCCAGATCCACCCTGTTATGCTTCCTTGTTCCATTATTAGGTATTTCCCCAACTGGCTGATCACCTTTTCAAAGAAGATGTTGAAGCAAAGCCAGAGAAGCTAGCTAATCATCATGCCAATACTGTTTACCACTTTCACAAAGCAGAATGGTATCCTTCTGCAATGTCTTGGAACAGTTTTCACAGAGGCAGAATAGAATTTTGCAACGGGGACAATGATTTTTATGCCAACATGGTTTTGTCCTGACTCAGTGTGAATTGGATGGCACTTTAGTTTAATAGAGGAGAAAAAACCCAAGAATGCAAAAATCCAGAGCCATGACAAGTGTGCTTTGGATAAATGCAAATAAGCATAAGAGCCTTATAAGCACAATGCACTCAGCAAGGCAGAATTTATTCACTCTATAGTGAGTGAATAAGCCTTGGTAGAACTCCTCTAAAATGGAGAAGTAGAATATCTAAATATTAAATGTTTGAAAGTTTATATGACAAAGGATTCCAGCAAATTGACCCAGGAAGGTGAATCAGTATGATATAAACTATACCTGCGTAGATATTATAATCTTGCCAGTTGTGGCATTTTATAATTTGGAATAATTTCACAACTGATGAGGGCAAATTGTGGATCTATGAATGAGTTAGCTGAAGGGTATCTGTACAGGGAGAGTCACATGAAATGATGATAAATATGTGGAACCAACCTGTATTTTTGCCTTTGTCTGTCTTTCTGCAGGGTGCAATGTGGGAGCCTCAGAATCATTCCTCATCGTGACCAGCTGATGGTGATCAAGAGCTTTTTGCTAAATGTGCAATAATAAAATGACAAATACATGATCCCCCTGAGCTTTTATATTCAGAGCTGATATAAGCTGTATTTATTTATTTATTTTAGAAAAAAAAACATCATTCAAATGAGTAAACGGCTGGATATATTTAGATGTTATACCACCACACAAAAAATAATTATTTTAGGACGTGTTGAATGAAGATTGGCTTTATGGACAATAAAAATGTCTCTCTGACAAAGCAAGATCAGGCCCACAGAGAAGATGCAAGCTTTGCTTCTTAATATTTTTTTTAAATTGTGCAGTTATTCATTTTTGACCTTTAGTTTCTCTTGCACTATTTATTGACCAATTCTTCTAGCTGGATTTAAGAGCGCCAGTCATCTTGAAGCTTTAGGAAGCTGGATTCTTATAGCTGACACTGTGCATGGTTGGAACATCAGCTTGGGACCTTTCTTCCACCTTGCTAGATTGTCTTCCAAGCTTACTCACCTTGTGACAATACCTGTATTCTTGCAGCCATGAAGAGAAGCAATGATGTTGGAACACGTTCGTTCTGGGCCTCTCAGTGGTTTCAGTTTGATCCTCCAGTTTCTTCAGTTGATTGGAACTTTATATTGGGGTGGGACTTTAAGGGATCCTGAGAAGTTTGCCTTATCTTTCAGCATCTACCCGCTAAGTAGCTTCTCCTTACTGTTATGTTTACTACTGGGCTTTGGTGGTGGTAACAACAGTATAACGGAGTAGTGCTAGGCCTATGAGAACTGAGCTGCAAAAATCTATTTGACCATCAGATGGCAGTAAAGCAATACCCAAAAAACAGAAACTACAGGAACCGCTTTACAGAGAAATATGATTCACTGTTGCCATCTAATTTTCATCCTGATCATTTGCAGCCCAAATCTCGTAGTTCTATCAACACCCAGGGAGCTACCCTATTTTATCAACCCTCTAGTTGCAGTCAAACAATTGTTTGCAAATGACCCATTACAGCCACCATGTAATTCCGTGTTGTGAATGTGCGGTTGGTGGGTACAGCACATGCACAATATGTGTGGGAGTGTGTGTGTGTGGGGGGGAGCGTTGAAGGGAAAGGAGGCTTGCTTTGCCCTCTGCCAAGATTCACATATTCAGACAAAGCCAATAGGAGAAGCACTTAAACCACTTTCATTAGCAAAAAAAAATTGCTTCCAGACTCTATCTGGGAAGCAATGCCAGCTGCCAAAACAGCTTTTAAAAGGAAATGAGAGACATTCACAGAGGAAAGGGTCTCGGTAGCTGTTAATCTTAAGGGTGATATATTGCCTCCAGTTTCTCAGGCAGGGTGCCTCTCAATTCCAAATGCTCCAGCATATGAGCTGGCAGATACTTTTGACCGATGGCATTCCCCTCCTGCATTTCTGACAAAAAAAAACAAAAACAAAAACAAATGGCAGTACAGTAGCTCCCAGTAATCAAACTGGATTCTGATTAAAGCACAGTTGTGCAACACAAGGTTACTTCACTGGCCTCTGCTTGGCCACTCTGAGATCCAGTTCATGTATGCATCCCCATCAAATATAATGGCCTTTGCAGTTATCTCTCACCAAAAATGTGACATGCTTGAACAGATCTCCTCCTCCTCCCCCCCCTCCTTTCTTCCCTGTGAATTCACCTACTCAAGCGTAGGAGTGATACTGGAAATTCTCCTGCTGATCCACTAACATGGGAAGACTCCGATTTTTTTTCTGCTTATGATCAGGAATGCAGGGAGGTATTCCTTATTCCTGCAATGATCACTGTAACCTGCAATTTGTTTCTCTGTATTACAAGGTAGAGTAACCAGAAAAAGGTCTTTGAAGGGGGATTTCAAGCTGGTTGCAATATCTGTTCTATGCTGCTTAGCCTCTGTTAAGCCTGCCTTGATAAATTGGCATCTAGGACTAAAGAGAGCTCTGAAACCGGCTGGTCTATAAAAATAGTTCCATGTCATCCGATTCCTGGGTAAATGTCTCCACTTGGAAACACACCAGGTAATTGTTTAATCAAGTCGCACACTACTTAATCATATTTTAAAAATAACAAACCCGCATTATACAAATAAGCTCCTTCTAAATGGAAGCAGCACAAACATATTTGCAATTACAAGGATGTTTTCTGGAGGTCAATGATTCCCACGATGAATGCCAAGGTACATCAGTGGGCCTCAGCTGGAAAGATTTGGGAAGAACTGAACTGTGTTTTGAGATAATCTCTTCTCTGCCTTTCCCCTTCTTTTACCCCTTTCCTAAGTCAGTACCCAATGCTTTTTGCAAGTTTTGGGGCATCTGCAGCTGTTCTTTTTTTCTAGGCTAGCAGTAGAATTATTTGTCTCTGATGCCTAAATCAATGCTAAAGTCAAAGGAAGTTACTTGACTTTCTGTGAAACATTGCAATCCAGGTACTTTGTCTTTAATTTCTTGAAAAAGGAAAAATAATGGGCAGCTGCAGAAGTCCTGTTTTTAGCTTGGTACCAGCATGCCCTTAATCAAGCATTGTTGTTTCGAAATTTCTTTTAATCATTTTCTCTAAAAAGCAACTCTGTCTCAACAATCTTCTATTTTGGGTTTTTCTCATTTGAACAATGTACTTCCCAAAATGTAAGTGTCCCTGTATGTATATTTCTTTAGTCGTTCACACTGATAGAAAAGGATACAAATATGTTGCAAATACACTGTTGAACATGTACAAACACATGGACACGCGTATTTTTATAATGTTTCACAAGGCAGAGAAGATGTTCATTTCTTGCCAATCTTACTGAGAAATATTTTGCTAATAAAATGATGTGGAACTTATTGTTGAGTTTTTAATGGGGAAAAAAGACAAGAAAATCAGCATCGCTGCTTATTATTTTAATACTTGTACGTATAAAGGTTACGCTTTGCTTGATACTGATAGACAACACACCCTTCTGTATTGACAGGAATCCTTATTCTAACTAAACCTATGCTGACTTGTAGGGCCCTTTTGTGGTGAATGCCTCAAGCAAAATAAGCAGAGGTTTTGCAAAAGCCTGGCCCTAGAACATTTCTAATGGGGAATGCAACCTATGCGTAAGGAGCTTTTACAGTCAATGGGAGTTACATGGAAATGGAGCTTGTTGCATAAAATACTTGTGCACGTGTTTCTTTTCCTTTTCTTTTGCTAACTCTGGAACCTGTTTCATGTGATCCTGATGCTCTCTCTTTTTCTTCACCCTGTGGCAGCAGCTTTCCCATGGCAAATGAACCAGCCTGCTATTTGCCACCAACTTCTAAAGATGAATAACACCACTTTTATTTCTGGGTAAAAGTGTCCATGGATTAGTGATGGTGGCCCCAAGTCTCTGCTTCCTGGCTATGCACATGACACTTGCACTCAGGGTCAGCCTGCTTCTAAGGCATCTTCACCACTCGAGTTGAGGTTTCCGTACTGGCCTTAAATATCTGATGACCACTATTGCAACAAGAAACAGGTAAAGTATTATCTCTTAGCAGGAATCTATTGGCTGTCTAGATTTTTTCAGACAGAATATGGTAATCCTGCTAAAGGACATCTAAACAATTCAAAGCAGGGGTGGCTGGATGAGAGGATTTTGTGCTGAGGACACAGGTGTAAGACTTCCATCAGTCCTGTCCTTCCATTAAGCCAGGAGTGTCAAAATTGCAACATCAGGTGATGTGTTGCCATGTATCGTGACTTTTTGCCATTGCCGGCAATGGGGTGGGCACGGTTTTGCTATGATGCATCTGGCCTGCGGGCCGGCCATTTGACACCCCTGCATTAGGCAATCTATTCTTGGAGCAAGCAAACTGGCTACAGAACTTTCTAGATTTGTCTAGATTTTGAAATGAAACATGTCAGTAAAATTCAGCCTTGGAAGCTTCGTGGAACTGCTTTTCTTTGAAAGCATGGAGGAGTATGCTTAGCTTACTGGAGAGACGACTGAGGGAGATGGTATAGAAGTCCTCAAATATATGAAGGGTTGTCACACACAGAAGAGAAGGAGATTCATTTTCTGTTACCTTAGGACAGTGTTTCCCAAACTTGACAATTTTAAGGCATGAGGACTTCAACTCCCAGAATTCCACAGCCAGCAACGCTGGCTGTGGAATTCTGGGAGTTGAAGTCCACATGCCTTAAAATTGTCAAGTTTGGGAAACACTGCCTTAGGACAAGGACCAATGGGCTAAAACTACAATAAAGGAGATTGAGGCTAAATATAAGCAAGGATGTCCTGAGCTGTCAGCCAATGGAACGGTATTCATGTAAAATGATACATTCTCCTTCACTGATGGCCTTCACACACAGGCTGGGTGGCCCTTAGACATGCTCTAATGCAGTGTTTTTCAAACTTGGCAACCTTAAGCTATGTGAACTTCAACTTCCAAAACTCCTTACCCAGCCTTCTTCAGTTCTGGAAGTGCAAAGAGGTGGGAGGGGGCAATCAGGGCAGTGCTTGGCCCAGCTTGTTCTGATCCCAGGGTCCTTGAGATATGTGGCCATTACTGAGATTCCATCAAGCTGAAGGCCATACACCTAGAACAGGGGTGTCAAACTGCCGGCCCATGGGCCAGTTGCATCATATGGAGGCCGCGCCCAACTCAGCTCCAGCAATGCAAAAAAAGTCGTGATACGTTGCAACACGTCATGTGACGTGGCAAGTTTGACACCCGTGAACTAGAGGATGGCCAGGATTAGAAAGACTGCACTGGAATACTTTTAAGGAGAATTTGCAAGTGTTAAACATTGCTAAGCCATGAACCTATTGGATATTAAATTCCTTGCTGTGCCATTCCTTCATTGGAGGTATAATGCATTAAGCTATATGTTATCCTAAAAGGGCTACATTACCCTGATGTCTCCAGGAAGATCTAGGAAAGCCTTGTGCCTGAAATCCTGGAAGCCCCACGTGTGACTCACAGCTTTTTATGTATCTAAGGTGAAGTAGGGCAGGGCAAGCCAAGACAAAAAGCAAATAGGTACTCTGAATTACCATTGCCGGTGCTGAACTCAACAGTTTTACAGGGTCAGATAGAAACTTGTTTCTCACTGGTACATCTTGTGCCAGCCAAGCCAGGAGATGCAACACCAGCCTTTACATTATGATGTGGGTGTGGAAATAATTCCCACGTCCAGAGCAGTT